CAAATTACCTATAGTAAAAAAAATATTACTAAGAGTATTATTAAGAAAGTAAATTGCAAAAAAAAAATAAAAAAAAAAAAAATTTTTTTTTCCAATAATTATTAGTCGGTCGTTACTTCCTTTGCTAATTATTAGTATTATTAAGAAAAACTCTAACTAGGACTAACAGGATGTTGGAAGAATTATTAAAAAGGAGCCTCTTATAATGTTATTTAGAGACGTCTGTTACAGCCAAACATCCATGTGGACCACCTGACACCTTGAGCAACTACTCCAAAATTGAATAGAAATTTTCATTCAAACAGGCTTGCTAAACCCTGTTTTGACCCTGTTCTCAGACCCGGGGTTCCCTCTATGGATGGTACAGTAGAGGTAGTGTACTTAGTAAGGTGTAGGTACCTTACCTTAGGCTACGGTTTGTCAATCTTGCCTGCCCGGCGGCCCCATATAACTTGCCGTTGCATTCCATCGTGCTTCGCGCAGCCCCGCTTGCTCGGATGACGCATTACAGCAAGCAGAGTAGCAATGCATGGAAGCATCTTCGATAAAGTTTCTATCGCTTCAAGTTGCTCTTGATGTTCTTTTCACTGTGGGTATTCCTTTACACATGTACCCTATTCTAAAGAACAGCAACCTGCTATGGTAGTATGAGCCGTCAGGTCCTTCTAGTGTAGTGTAAATGATGAGTTCGTTCCTCTATCGCGAAGCGGGGAAAATATGTTGTGTGAGGAGGAAAGCTTGTGGAAGTAATCCAACTTGACAAAACCGAATATAGGTACTCATTCTAAGGCGATATCACATCGACGCTTAAACAATGACCCCAAACTTAACAGCAAGCAGGACAATTTGCCGGTCAGAAGACTTATATAAGTCCTGTCATCAAAAGCTTTGGCACCGGGCAGCGTAAGGTTTGAATGTATGCATATATCTCAGCTATACGTTATGAAGGATATGCCCCAGCCTACCTCCGAACTTGACAGAATTACCCTCTCAAAGCCTTCTACCTGTGTGCATTTGTTGTCCCTCTGTGGCGGCTTTCTTACCTCAGTAAGCTCAGCCGGCCTTCACGTCCGGTCCTTCAGTCGTGTTCAAGGCTAAAGGAGTGCGTTACTAGGTAGCTTCCATCTGTCTACTTGTCGCCTTGTCTACTTTCCTCACATCTCGTTTGTTTATTCTATTTTCACAGAAAAAGTTCTCGCTCACTGCCAAAATAAAACAAAAAGCCAAAAAAGATAAACCGCTATGTTGTTGTTAGACCTCTGTCCATGTCGCAACGATAATGAAAAGGTGATGAGAGCTACTACCCTTGTACCCTTTACTGTCCATTCTCGGATCGGGCTCGGATCGGTCTCGGGGCCATCCCATGTATGTAGCTAGCTAGTGTAGTTGACGGCAGGTTCATTACACGGGTAACTTACCCGGTACGGTTTTGTACATTTCAGGCTTGGTGTTACTCTGAACTCATCATGTTAGTTGTTCTAGCTTTAGTGTCGTAATATACGTACTCACGGGCTGAAATCGATTCATCGTATCACTGTCTAAAATGTCGTGGACAGCATACTGAGGAAGGGCGCTTACTGCATAGACTTGGAAGGAAGTTCGATGGACATTTTGTGAAATAATCCATGATGATTCCACTGGCATGAACCATGGGATAATGCGATCTTCATGCCAGCTATGAACATGTTGAGCGCTTTGTGTAAGTCAAGCTAAATTGTAGGGTATCGAAATCCACAGACTTAGCTGCGCAACATTAGGCTGTGATCACGTCCTCTCCTGCTATGCCAAGTAATTCTGAACAGAGGACAATAAAGCGGCGCAACAATGACGCAAAGCGGTGGACATCTCGACTTCATCAACAACGGGGCTGATAAGGCGCCGGAGACAACAATCGTAACGCAGAGGGGAATCATTATTCAAGATGGCTTTACCAAATGCATTAGAGTAATCCAACCAATCGACCAGATCGCCCGTTCACTTCAACTGGCGCAGAATTTCCGTCAAGAAGTCCTCAAAACTCAGCGTGATGTACCCATCGCGATCATCATCGTACTTCTTGAACACATCCGTCATGCGCTTCAGGCTGATGCAAGCCTGCACAAAGAGATCGAAGCTCATGACGCCGTCGCCGCGCTTGTCGTACGTGCGAAAGAGAAGCTCGACAAAGCGCGGGCTGAGCCGGTAGCGAAACGCCACCAGTGCGTTGTTGAACTCGTCCAAGCTGATGTTGCCAGACTTGTCCATGTCGAAGCGATCGAACAGCGTCCGCCAGGAGGCCAAGAAGGACCAGAGCCCGCAAAACTCCTCAAACCCGATGGTACCGCTGCGGTCGCTGTCGAACATGCGGATCATCATGCGGACGGTGTGCGGGTCAAAGGCAGTCCAGTCCCCGTTGACGAGCGCCGCGGAGAGTTCTCGTTCGGAGAGCTGGCCGGTACCTGGAGAAAAGGCACGCGGGGCGGTTAGGATGCAGTTATGTATGAGAGGGGGGTGGGTATGCCAGCGGAGCACTCACCATCCTTATCGACGGCCCTGAATAGGGGTAGAAGAGTCGGGTCGGCGCCATCGCGGGTCGTCGGGCTCGGGGGCGGTCGCGAAGAGACCGGGGGGAGGTTATGATGAGCGGGCCGGCTGCCGGTCGCCGAGGGAGGCGGGCTCATGCCGTAGCGGTCTGGTGGTGGTCCTTGCTGCATTCTCGGTGATAGTCGGTGCGGGTCTGCTGAGCCGGAAGCGTAGTGGTTCTGAGTGTATGCGTTTTGATGATATGCGTTCTGATTGTATGTGTTTTGACGCTGGGGATCGTACGTGTTCTGGCGCTGGTCGAAGCCGGTGTTGCGATGTTCGACGGGGCGGGGAGGTGGTGGTTTCGTCTCGTAGCGCGCTGTGGTAGGAGACTGCTGAGGCGGAGCCGGTGAAGTGCCTTGCTGTGAACCGGAGATGGGATATTAGCATGCGACCCAGCTAGACGCCATCTCGTCGCGTTGAAGCTGGAGAGAATTAGGTTGCTCACTCTTGGTTCCGGCTCGGCGAATCTTGGGAGCAGAATGTCAGCAGGCGATCAGTTTACACGTTTACAGGCTAAGAAGGAGCTGTATGATTTGGCGACGGGTGCGGGGCTCTCCGTGCTTCTCCAGGGGATATGCAGTGTAGGGGGAGGTATACGCGGGATAGGTCGCGGGAAAAAGGGCATACACACCTGGGGAGCTCGTCCGGGTTGTAGGATCTGTTGTAGGCCATGGCTGTGTCAATCAAGAGCTTGCAAGTTGTTGCCTTCAATATCGCCGGTCGCCGTCGCAAACAAGGTCAGGATGAGTTGTCGGGCCAAGGCGGGGGAGTCGGGATGCGGAGATGGTGAAGGGAGGATTGACGGGACAGCAAAGGAGAGCGTCGAGGAGAGACACCGGCTGGTGAGGGTATCTAGTGTAATGTAGGTTGGTAGTAGGGAAAAAGACTGGAAAGGAGTAAAGGAGTCGGTGATGGGTAGAGTAGGTCGCTGGATCAGACCCCGTTTCTAGGTTACAGAAAAGCAGTGAGATTAACTTATTTTCCTAGACACCTACCTACCTTATCCACGTATGAGGTATGGGGATGTACTGGGCAATCCGTAATTTAGGTAGTTACGTGCCCAATCGCCTCAGCCGCAACGCCAGACCGCAACCGCAATGTTGATTCAGAGACTAGAGTGCTTCACGGTTCAGGGTACAAAGTATCAGAATCCGAGAGGGAAGGAAGAGCGGAAGGATCTCGGATTCGTTCTGGAGGATCCGAGTCTGTCGGTCGGGAAAAGGCACGAGCTTCTGAGAGCTCAACTTTCCCCTTCTCAAATCCTCCAATTTAGTTCCATTCCACAATTCCACATGGGTCCGTTGACCCGTTCAACGTGGTCCAACGCTATCGTGCCTCATCGGGCTAGTTGAGGGTCCTCTGTGGAGTTTGCTCGTTGTGCGGTGTATTCCGTCCGTATTGTGTGTGATCCGCACTTGAATTCGTAACATCGAGGAGGCCAAGACGACTGGGCGTTGCTTGGAGCGTCTTGTCTTGGGTGTCGGTAGCAGTCTCGTCTGTCTGTATGGTGGCCAGATGTTCCTATAGGCATGATGCGGTGAAATGTTACCAACTCTCAATTGGCCATGAGAATCGTATCGGAGCTGGATTTGCTATCGGGCATGAAGCCATGACATTTCAAGGACATAAACTCTATTGTGGTTGTTCATGCATTGTAGTCTAAACGCTCTTTTTACCACCAGCCCAGCAGGGCGGTGCTACACCGGAACCGCGAATTTTGGCCGGAAGATTGTTGTTTACAGGCGTCGAGGTGTTCGGAGCCGCGCAACTTCCGAACTCTACGTTTCATGAAGCGGGTGCCTGCCCATCAAGACACAGAAATACCTCACTGAAGTGCTGGCGGTGGGAATGATATCAATGCATGCCGCGCGAGCCGGTGTTGTTTGCCTAGATATGGACAGTGTCCTTCAAACACTATAGTAACCGGCCTAATATTATCGCTGGATCACGGATGAGATCTGAAGATGCGATATTGGAAAGTGCATACAATTGTTAGTGACGGAGCTTCAAATGCATGCATTTGGGCGCGGAACACTGTAGCGGCTTTCATCTCGCTAACACACTCTGTGGGCTATCTATCTAGAATGTCCTGAAACACTGCTATTCCCCTAACCCTCGGAATTCATTTTGTCTGGTTTGCGAAACACACAACTCCGAAGGTTCCCTTTACTTGTGGACTGGCTCTCCTACAAATACCTAACCATATGTTAACACCAAAGAGTTTAATAACAGAAATTTCTGAGGGCTGGGTATAGACTGTTCGTCTCGTTAACCCTTTTGTAAATTTTGCTTACCTATCTTACAACTTGCTTCAAAGCGGAAAGCAAAGAAATGTCGGCCCAAGAACCTCCAAGCAAGCAAGATGAGTTCTGGATATTTGGCTACGGGTAAACCGCCTCATTGACCATACCGCCTTTACACTCCGGAAGTCTCATTCTAGTCACGGCAGCTAACCGACCCTTACAGAAGTTTGATCTGGAAGCCGCCGCCGCATTTTGGTACATACCTCTACACCTTTCCCCTTGTCGTTTCACAAGACGGAGGCGTTGTTCTGTTCGAACATGTCCGGTCCCCATCTCGAAACCCCCAACTCACATAGGTCTTATTCGTCGACCTTGGCGTTCTGATGGCGTCTAGATACAGACTGACCGAGTATCAAACATTGTCTAGATAGAAGAATCCCCGGCTGGGTCGAAGGCTACGTACGCCGGTTCTGGCAGGTATGTCCCGGCTGGAGTATTTCCACTTCATGGTTTCTCTCGGTGCATAGGAGTAACTTTCGGTTGTGTCTTCACACGTGCTTTGAATGCTAACTGCCCGTCTGTAGGCGAGGTAAATATTCTCATTAGTACTCGGACAACTAGAATCTCTAATTGTGTCCTTGAAAGTGCAATTCTCCCCCATCTTCCCGCTCAAGTGATAAGACATTCAGATCCCGGAGCACTTACCCTACACAAACCTCGCCTTTAACCCTTTGATCTCCATCTCGTCACAAGCCCGTTTTTGATCTTCCAAAACCATTTCATCTGACCGCTAACCCTTCCTCTCTCTGTTCCCCCCGAGTAGTGAAGACCACCGTGGCACGCCCTCCGCACCCGGCCGCGTCGTCACCCTGATCGAGCGCTCCTACTGGGCCTCGCTTGCCGATCGCCACGACTCGGCGCCCGCCAAGGTCTGGGGCGTGGCCTACCGAATCAAGGCCGACCGCGTCGCCGAAGTCAAGGAGTACCTCGACATCCGGGAGATTAACGGGTATACGATTCACTGGACCCCGTTCCATCCAGCCTCCGACGTAGACCCTGCCTTGCTCCCTCCAGCGCAAAAGGGTCCCATCCAGACCCTGGTTTATATCGGTACGCCCGACAACGCCCAGTTTACGGGACCGCAGGACCCGCAGGAGCTTTCCGAACACATCTATCGGAGCAAAGGGCCGAGCGGTCTGAACCGCGATTATCTGTGGGGGTTAGAGAAGGCCTTAGATGAGCTAAGTCCTGAGAGCAGCGATGAGCACGTGAAGGACCTGTCAAACCGGGTGAGGGCGGTGGCCGCGCGGTATAAGAGTGAAGGAAAGGCCGACCCGACCGACGAGACTGATGCCGCGACCGAGGTGATTGAGGTAAACGGAACAACAGAAGCGACACACGACGAGCACCACCACCACCAGTTCAGAAGAGCTGGCAGCGTAGATGAGCAGGAGGAAACCGAGAAAACATCATAGACGGAAAGAAGTCCGAAGAAGACCCCATAGGGAAGTCCGCAAACCTCTCATTTTCAAAGGACAATATGGGAGGATGCTTTCTCCTCCACCAACCACTCTAGCTTTTTCCCCAGCGCATATCCCCGTTGGCAAGTTTGGCTCTATTAGCCCGCAAATTGCTGTCTTTCGATACCTCGCTCATGCCCATGCCTTACGAGATCATTCAATCATATCGTCGTTACCAGCCACACACAATTTCCTATCCACCCGGTGATTCAGCCTCCATCTCCATCTCATCCACTTGCTCTTGCGCTTCGTCCTCGCCGTCTATGGGAATCAGGATTACAAGCTCCCACGTTTGTCGGGAACGAAGAAGGGGTATTAATCAATGCCAAAGGAAAGTAAAATCGGACGGTATCGGCGGTTCGAGAAGTCGCTCAGCAGCTCTCTGATCCTGGAAAAAGACATGCTGTAGGGTATCGGTTTCTGTTCGTCGGGAGTGACGCACGAGGTGTTCTTCCATGTAACACAAGCTCTGATCGCTGACCTTTAGTCAAGTATCCGCAACGTTGCGTCATGTGCCGCCTGCTAATTCAGGTCGCCGCACTCTCCCATCAAGCTAGCACGAGGTTTGGCGCGAATCGCCGCTTAGTACTGGCCCTGGGGAGGGTACTGCTGGCCCTGCTGGGAGGGGTCGGCAGGGTAGCCGCCATAGGGAGCTGCGTATCCTTTACCTCATCAGTATCAAATTCCCGTTTGGTTTTCTTGGAGATCGGGGTGTCTTGCTTACCCTGCTGCTGGCCACCGTTGTAGCCCTGCTGGGGGTTCTGGCCGTAGCTACGCTGACCGTAGGAGGACTGCTGGTAGCCGCCCTGGCCACCGTACTGCTGGCCGCCGTAACCACCGCCGCCGCCCTGGTAGCCGCCGCCGCCTTGGTAGCCACCACCGCCCTGGTAGCCACCGCCGCCCTGGTAGCCGCCGCGACCACCATAGCCGCCACCGCCGCCGCCCTGACGGAAGCCGCCGCCACCGCCGCCGGCGGCACGGTCAGAGGCCTTGTCAACACGAACTCTGCGACCGTCAAATCTAGTTTGGAGTGTCAGCGTCCGCTCGGTGTTGATCTTCCAAATCGGGGAACTTACTCCTGACCGTCCATGTTGGCAATGGCGTTCTCGGCATCAGCATCGTTGCCGTAACGGACGAAGCCGAAGCCACGGCTGCGACCGGTGTCACGGTCCTTCACGACAACCTGAATAGAGTAAAACAGGCAGATTAGCAATGGGCATTCTAACTTATGGTGTCATTGGCAAGGGCTGACTTGCATGCCGAAGTCGGCAAGCAGGTCTTGTAGTCTGGATGTGGTGATAGAACTTACTGCTTCCTCGACAGCACCGAACTCCTCGAACTTGGCACGGAGCATGTTATCGTCCGTGTTCCACGAGAGGCCTCTGAGAATTGTTAGCTGTGAATGGGACGTGAAAGATGTGCCATGAAGACGCGGCGCATGGAATACACACCCAACGAAGAGTTTAGCCATTTTTGCTGAGGTGATGTAGTATCAAGATTGGTCTGAAAGTCTGCGAAAATAGTTAGACGTCATAATCATGCTGAATGCTTGTGACCAGCAGGGGAGCGCCAATGAGATGCACTCCGCGGTCATGGCTTCTGCTGCCTCGAGCGCAGCTGCCGCACGACTTCATTTGAATGAAGCGCGGTTCCTGCTGAGGCAGCCGTGACCGCGACATGAAGCCACGAGGTGAGGTCAGGTCTTCGCGACTGAATTAAACAATAGCCCTTGACTTGTGCTCGTGACGTTGATGCGATAGAAGTAAAGGTGGGAGTCGCGACTTACGAATGATCGATCTAGGTATGCTTGAATGAGGCACAGATGGGTGAAGACGAGGATGTAGAAGTTTGAGAGAAAGTGCAGGATTGAGCGAGACTCGTGTTCACTTGAAAACTGAAATAAGTAGGTGAAGAAAAAGAAAACCAACAACGCCCCGTAAACAGCGGGGCAAGGTAAATCTGCTGGTCGGTCAAGGCTGGTAGTATTGGAAGATTGCTTGGTAAGGGTGCGCTGGTTGGCGGGATATCCACATCGTCTTATATTGCAGGAGGAACCAAGCAGATCGAAGGAAGGTTCCCCAGCACACAGCCCGCAGGAATTTGCGTCACTCGTCTCTTTATTCAGACTAAAAAGTTCCCTATCTGAAAGGCAGGATAACGTCACGTTGATCGCCTCTTCTTCGTCCCGTGTTTTGGGATGGCGAACATGCTTTCTCCGCCATTCCATCCCCACGAGCCCCAGATAGGCACCTGAAGCCCCGAGAGTCCCAAAAGGCGCCCCGAGACGGGGTTCTTGACGCTAAAAGGACATGTTTCGGCCAGCATGAGGTGGTGAGGGTAGGCGACCATGGTAACCCGTTTAGGCGCCCAAACAACCATCAAACAGAGAAACGTCAACTTCAACAATATGCTCGTGTTTTGGACTGGGGGCTTGGGGGGGTTGGCTGCGCTGAATACGGCTACCTGCCGGCTTGCTCTGTGAAATCCAGATTCTAATCTTGCTGGGGTACGTAGGATAAGTTTCGAAAGCCCTAGATACCCTTCTTGTCTTGCAATCTCACCATTTTGCCCTCTCTACCTCCTTTCCCCCCTCTCGAGTTGATGGGATTCACCAATGTTGCAATCTGCATGGGTTCCTGTAGGAACAGCGCGTCCCTGGCAGCCAGTCGTGGGCACATTTCGTCATCTTTGGCCCCCGCCCTCCCCCTCGATTTTACAATGGGAATGGCGCCCTGCAAGCCTGTCTCGCCGGTGTTTGATCCGAGTCGGAATCCAACAATGATTAAAACATGTTTCCTATCGCTTGGACTGGCCCCAACCGGCTCAGCTCCCTCCCAATATCCCTTGGTTTGTTTTCATCTCAATTCATGAAGCCATCTTGCCGACTGGCAATGACAGATGGCAACCTTTATGGCTATGGCTAGGTCATGCAGGTGAGTATCCACCCAACAAAATCGAGGGGCAAGCACAACCTCATCCCGTCACCAAGGCAGCCTGATTCTGCGGGCCGCGATCCACCAAAAGGGTGGGGAGATCTTATCGATAAAGATTGATGGTTCAACAAAGGGGCCCGGCCCTTGTTTAATCCCTGAACATCGCCAGGTTCCCCCGCTAAACCACATTCAGCCTCAGCACACAAAAGAGGGGTTTCGCAAATGGGACTTTGAGCTGCTGCGGTACACGGCAATTCTGCTGCCCCGATTTCTTGTGATGCAACATGTAGGTGTCGCAAAAAGGCCCCCAAGATTGAGGCCGTGACCGCTCTTGAAGCTAAACAGTAGCATCAGTTGTGACGAAGGGGTTCCGAGTCTTTCGTCTGATGAAGATGAAGAGCGAGATAAGCTGTTTTATGCTAGCTCTGGTAGAAAAAACAACGGTGAGGCTGGATGTAGATGGTGTGTTTAGGTAGCGTAGCAGATCGGGACTGCTGGTACGTACGTGGCATCGGATGAGATCTGGTAAACTGCACTCGTTTGAAGAGAAGATCAACAGGCCATGGCTGTGCCAACGAACACCCTCGAGGCGCTTGTTTTCTTAGTAGTTATGAGATGGAAGATGGCCAGATCATTGCGGTTTGGTCGTCTACAGAACATGGAAGGAGAAAGGAGATGATATTTGAACGTAAGTGATTTCCGGAGGCTATTAGTGCGGTGACGGAGGAATGAATGCTTCAGTCTTTCCAACTGCCTAGTCTGACTCATCTCATCCACCAACTCGTTGCAGTTGTCTTTGGCAGACAGGATATATGAAACGGCAGAGAGCGGACGAACATGATCCCATCCTGCAACACAGACAAATAGATAGACAGACAGACAGGCCTCGAACGAGCTGGCCATCTGGCCATTTCATGTATTCTCGACCTTGCGGGATCACAAGATGCGGTTGCGATCTTTCCGCGTCTCGATTGTGGCCTCCTTTCCGGCTGGATCTGGGCGATATGTGAGGAGTTACAATGGCGAAGTTGTTTTTTTTTTTTTTTTTTTTTTTTTTTTTTTTTTGGTAACTCTTGTTTTCAAAACTTTTTGGGTTTTAAATTATTTTTGTAATTATATTCTTTATGCCGCAGAGGAGGCTCCCTCCAAGCTGTTGATTCTTCGCGTCTGTCACCTTGAGGTCTTGAGGTTCTTCTGTTTGCCGATTTCCTGCAACCTCGCCTCAACGAACATGGGTCCTCAACTGTCGAGTTCCTCAAGTCAAGATACTGTACTATGTATGTATTGATGATTTTGAGACAACTATGATGGTTCGCGGGTCCTCGCTTACTACGCAGAATTCCCTTTGTCCGGGCGATGTGGCCACACTGACACTACGTATCATGAAGAACCTCGATGGCGCGGTGGAAAGTAACATCAACGTCAACAACAACAACCAACGGACCCGCCAGAGAGATCTGGAGGTGGAGGGCTGGGGCCAAAGCCAAGATTTCCTTCCCCGGGCTGTTGCTGGCTGTAACACCCACTTCGGTCTTGTATCCTACTGGCTTATCTGGTCCCAAAATGGGGTCCAACTGTCCTGCATGTGGATGGTTCATCTCGTGGAGTCGCAGATACCCTGCCGTCTCCACCAACAACGTCAACGCCGTTGAGGCGGCGGACATTGTACTGTGCGTATGATACTATCCAGATCTTGCACGCTTCGATAGCGTCGGCTTCCAGTCAAATCAGTCGACGAATCTTGTAAAGAGATTGTACCTGCAGGATGCGACTGTAGTGTACCAGGATTCACGAGGCGTGAAGAGGAACCTTATCTATGAACAAGTGACTGTGATTGGTTTCAGCTAGGGATGTGGACTGCGCAATACATATAAGTAGTGTTCGGGGAGGCAGGCTTCAGCAAAGCTGCCTTCCCTTCCCCGGGCGATGAAAGGCTGGATCGTGGGTTCGGGTTGTGGCTCGTTTAGATGCCGAATACTGGCTTGCACCATAGCCAATAGGTAGGGAGCGACCTTTACTTGAAGTTCGAAGTCTAATTAGTCCAAATGAAGGTGTAATTGCAAAAGAACGGAGAAAAGGGAGTGATAGGCCTTTGGATGTTTGAACTGAGGTAAAGACTTGGAGGAGCTGCAAGTACTTCAACGAAGTGGGAAGTAAGCTTTGGTACTAATGATATCAGATTCAACATAACCTTTCCATTGAAGCCCAAAAATCCGTACGATAACAAGTGAAATCAGTTAGTGAAAGCGGGACTCTGTATGGGGACTACCCGCGAAAGCACCAAAACCCCTACCTAAAACTTTCAGCGTCAACCATCATGCAAGTATATAATAGGGATGGAGGTGACATCTCATTTTACAAATTGTCTAACACTCTAATAGCCATAACTCAAACCATCGCGATGATTCCAAGTTTACGGCACAAGGAAAATGCTCAGAGAACTGACTCGCAAAACGCGAATCAGCATTGGCCCGCTTTTAGACGGGATAAAGGTTCCTTCCTCCAGACCAGTACGCCATGGCCAGGTAAGCACCTTCTCAATCACTATCACCATCCAGTCAGGATGGCGTCTTGGTCGGATAAAACTGCAACTTGGTGTTACAGTAACGACTGAAAGATACTCGTACGAGCTTCATTCGTCCAGTGTCACTGTCACGAAGAGTCCAACATAACTAGGTTGAAGTAAAATACGATATCCACGTACAGGCCGCTTGAAAGTATCAAGAACAGGAAAGAACCATTTGGTGAGACTGGTCATAGTTACATCGTGAGTAGTTCGGCTTCAGAGGGTACAGAGGGCATAGATAGGACACGGTTCTGGATCGTGCTCGCCGTCTTTTTCTCTGGACTTCTACTTGGGGCATCGGTAGTATGCACACGAACACAGGCTTTTCCAGCTCTTCCGTTTACCAACTACAGTAGGATTACAGTCGCCATATTTCATCATCACTCGAGCCTGCGGGCGTCTTCTCTAGTTGTGGTCAACCTGTGACCTATGGATTCCCGTAAATACCATTATCGAGACAAATATCCATACGAACCAGGTCATCCATCGGATCATGACCATCATCGACATGAACGAAGAAGCGATGAATACCATCACACGTCTGCCAGATTGCGTACCAGAGAAGCTCGGCACAATCACCAAGGCGCGTTCGATGTGCCCGCTAGCCAACCTGAGAAGGCGGATTATGTCCACACATGGCTGCAGCGATCACAAGCGAATCGTGCCTGTTCCCCAGAGCCGGTTCCGGGGGACAGACCTCGAAAGGTGTCGCCGCGCGCGCACATGGTCAAGCAGGCTAGTCAAAAGAAGAAGAGAGCACGGTCAGAGTCGCCCGAGCCAGTACACCCAAGAGAGACCCATAGCCCAAATGCTCTTCGGTTTGAAAAGAAATCCCGACACAACACGAGGCTTGACAAATACGAATACAAGCCAGAGGTAGATCGTAACAAGAGACGGAACCAGACCAAAGAACATCGCCGGGAGGACAGTCACGGGTCTTTGGAGGATGTTCAAAGACATACCCGAAGTAAATATCAACATGCGGTGGGTAACTGTCACTACCGTTATTAATAGCGATTTGCTAAAATGGTTCAAATTCCAGCAACGAATGAACGAGCATGACCAACGAACCGACCACGGTACTGCCCGTCGCCAGAGCCCCGAAGCCAGGGAGGTCGAAACTATATCAAGACGCCCTGATCATAGATCAAGAGCGGTGGAGTCAGGACGAAGAAGCCGAAGACAGCAGGCGGAAGCTAAGGAAATGAAGGAGCTGTCTGCGTTCTTTACGGGGAGAGCTGACGGTGAAAAAGCGGAAGCTGAGAAAATACGCTACCGACCTCATCGAGAACAACGCTACGACACTGCTACTGCTAGACATCCGGCTTCAGATATCTGCCAGCGACGAACACATGATTCACCCAGCCCTTCGCTTCTTCCCAGTAGAAGCACTGGCTCTACCAGACAGCCTTCGCCTGCTTCTCTCCGGCCAGACCCCCATGTCTCCTCGTGTGGTGATGATTCAGTTCTTGTTCTCCCAAATCGTCCGAGTAGCAGATCAACTACATATTTCACATGGTCAACAAGTGACAGGGATCCGAATGCTAGGGCGCCAGTGTCCAACGATTCCATTTCAGAGAAACCACGGAAGAGCATTCAGAGATCTGCTCGGAAGCTTGTCCTGCAGGAGCGGGAAATAAAGGGCCCACATGTGGTTTCTGAGGATTTCAAGATCAGACCAGCTTCAAGAGCAAAGCGTCATCCACGGAAATCGATAGTGTACCAGGATGCTCAAGTCCAGACATCTTTTGATGCAGATCCGAATCAAAATCGCCAATACGCAAAAAATCCTATCCCCCAGTATCGAGATTCCGCAATCATGACAGCAGACGACAACAGTAACCTCAAACAACGTGTCTCCATGCTGCCTGCAGAACCATTGCCAACTATGGACAAGAGAACTGTAGATGAGCAGCCCTCATCTAATATAACAGTAACAACGCTACTAGATGTACCACCGCAGCCACAGTTCCAACCTCAACCACAAGCCTGGGTTACCTCTAATGCCGGGGATAGACTCCTTTCTCAGCCGTTTGTGGCAGCGCGTAACTTGTTTGCCCAAGGAGGCTGGCAAACATATCAGGAGCCTTCTTCTAAGCAAGCATCCGGTCGCTATACGAAACTCGTTCCGCCTGAAAGAGTTCGGGCTGTAATGCCTTCGCACCAACTAACCTCTTTACGCCCTGCAGTTGATCAAATTTCAAGGCCTATTTCATGCCCTCCAGCTCAGCTTTTGTATGCTCATACGCAGGGTCCGCCTCGTGAAAGTATGGAAGATTACATCCACAGGATCGAGCAAGAAGCTCTGCAAAGTTCCACCAACAACGAAGAAATGGATGGATTACAGCCCCATGGTCCAGACCTGACTGAAGGTATAGGGCGACAGCAGCTCGGCCATGAATTATGTCCCGAAGGCAATGATATATTTCTTCGGGACACTGCGTGGTACAATCAGCATCAACTTCCAACAGACCCAGCACATATCCAGGTACAGGATCCCGAAGATTTCGACCTAGAGCATTACGGGCAGGGTATAGGGGGTCAAGATACCCGGTTACCGAGACTGTGGGAAGATCCTCGCGAGTTCTGAGATGTGATCTGATCCAGCAGAGAAGCCATCACTCCGGCTTCTGATCCTTCCACTTTGCCTTAATGTTTTCGATATCCATTCCACATTTTGCGGCTTTGGCGACTACCGCCCGAGCCTTTCCAACCACAGGAGCATCAATCATCTTTCCGTCCAAGGTCCAAGCACCTCGACCAGCTGCAGAGGCCTTATCATCGGCAACGAGGATACGAACGTACCACTCAACCTCGGCCTCTGCTGGGGCAAACATTCGCTGGGTCACTTCGACCTGACTAGGGTGGATACACTCTGTTTCAATGCCAAGTATTAGTGAGGAGCACAGTTCCTATAACAAGAGCACCTTCGGTACAAGGAAAGGATATTCAGGAATATGTAACTCACGCTTTCCGTTGAAGCCCATCTCCTTGCCGTTTTGACACTCCTCTTCTAGCTGCTTTACCCCCTCTGGACCCTTGTATGAGGTACAGACAAGGTCAATGGAGCTAGGGAGATCGAATGCTCTGGCAGCAGTTACAATAGCACTTCTGGCGTACAAAAACTCGGCCAAACCTGGCGTTCGCGTAATAGACAGGTCCAACGCAAAATCCTCAGCAGCAAAGATCAGACCACTCAGATACGGTGACGCAGCACATATCGAGCGCAAATCCATGACTGCTCTGGCCGATTCAATCAAGGCAATTAGCTTGAGAGGGCTTGCCGTGGGATCGGAAGAATGTCGTTGTAGAGCAGCATGGCGAATGACATCTGTAACGAAGGACAGATCGCTAGCACTGTTGACCTTGGGGATGACAATGGCGTCAAGGTTTGGGGCGCTTGCGAGAGTGGTCAGATCATCAAGCGCATAGGGGGTCGAGACAGCATTGATGCGTACAGCAAGCTCTCCAATGGAGGCTGGCTTGTTCGAAAGCGAGGACAGGTGGTCGCGCAATTGTGTGCGAGCGGTCTGCTTGTTTGCTGGAGTCACCGAGTCCTCAAGGTCATAGGTGATATTGTCACTAGCCAAGGAGAGTGACTTGGTCATGAACTTCTGAGAAGACGCAGGAACTGGGTCATGCTGAGTTAGCAACTATTGCAGCCATATGACAGGAGGGTTATATCTTGGATAGACCGCACCATATAGGAGCGCCCGACGGAGGACGGAAGAGGTAGCCATGATTTTCAGTCTCAAGTCAACAGGTGAGCTCTGCGGTATGTTTGGATGTTGACGGGATGGAAACTATCTGGGCTCACAAGTATGACCGACTCAGCCACTCATCCACTGCATACACTGCTAACAAAGGCCTGAGAGCATCCTAAACCACTCAGTGAATCACGGTCTGTTTATCGGGAAGAGAGGAGAAAGTCAACAGAAGGATGTTGCTGAGCTCAATAGGGAGTCGAATGGCATGTGACGTAGCACGGGCGCGGAGCTGTAGCTTCGGGCCGCTGTCGGTTGGGGCGCTATGTCACTAACTAGATTTTACCGTCCTCCGACCTCCGTTCTCTGGCTCAATATGCATGGTAACTTTGTCCTCGGAGAACCTCATTTTTGAACAATAGGATAAGAAACCGGGAGGCACGAGGATTGCTTTGACGCAGAAAGACATTGAGTTCCATATCGAAGTAAAGCCTGGTTATTTCAGTTCGTAGGGAGGCTTTGTACGGAAGACCAGCACGGTGTCATTCCCAAGGGGAAACGTGGTTGTAGGTAACGATAGTGCATTAACAGCAATGCTGAGATATGTGGGGAAAAGGTACCTCCCAGGTCCTACCGATTGCCTGCAAAAACTGGGTATTTCAATACTTTGTAGTCCTCCCCACCGGATATTCAGCCGTTAACACACCCTAGCTTGTGTTCGAGACGGTCTGTCAACGCGGAGCTTAGGTGTTCTGACCTGCGCAGTTGCGCATCGTGCAAACGGCTTGACTTCACCTCTCTCCAACTTCACGACGACACCATTGTGACAAAGTACCTTCGAACCCAGTAACAGGTCACCTTCTGATCCTGATGATGGAAGCAACACCGACGCCCGGCTCTTTGAGCTGGCGCTTGAGCTCGCATCCTATTACGCTCCTGACATTCCTCGCTTTTCGATCATGTAGGTGCTCGCAGTCCCTCTTCCTAGCTCCCTTTGTCAGTGTCTCGAGGATTGGATGTAGCCCATTACGGCCATGATGGAGAGGAGAATGGAATCCGGCAGGATGATGGGTAGAAGGTCACGAAGAGAAGACGGATGAGGATGGAGCACCCGATATCTGCTACCAAGACACGCTTGCTAAAACCTGATCGCGAACTACAGCCAGTCTCCTTGTCTACCTTTTTGGCCTCTTATTTACCGACAACCTGTAAGGCGACCCCGTCTGGCCCCTTTAAACCACACCATATCAGATGCTCGACTTGCCCACTTGCTCGCCTATACGGTCGCAAGCGAACGCGAACCCGAGAGTGTTCCCAGCCTTCCACAGCTTTCATCCATCAGAAGAAATCAAAGGATTAGATTGCTAACCACCCCCCCAACCGACCGGCAGTGTCATGATCTTCATCATAACCATCCTCCTCCTCGCCGGCGATTTTTACTACCTGAAGAACATCGCTGGCCGCCGACTCGTGGGCCTGCGTTGGTGGAACGAGGTCGATCCTAACTCGGGCGACTCGCACTGGGTGTTTGAAAGCAGCGAGCCGGGGACCAAGATCATCAACGCGACCGACAGCCGCTTCTTTTGGCTGGCAATCTATGCGCAGCCGCTGCTGTGGGTTGTGCTGGCTATTGTGGCCTTGTTCAGTTTGAAGTTTATTTGGTTGCCTCTTGTTGGTATGTGCCCCTTTCTTTCCCCTCTATGCATCGTACTAGCGCTTGCCAGTTCCCTTGGCTTGCTGGTTGTGCTGCGTGGTTTTAGTGTTGTCAAAAAGGCATTATATGCTAATTGGAGGTTAATGGGCGTGTTGTATAGCTATTGCGTTGGTTCTTACCATTACCAACTCGCTTGCCTTCTCCAGGTGCGACAAGTTCAGCCAGGCTTCCAACATTGCTGGAACCGCGTTCAGCTCAGGCAACATTGCTGGTAACATTGCGAGCAACATGGTTGGCAGGTTCTTCTCGAGGTAGAGAGCAAGCAGGACGAGATTCCCTGAGGTCAGGGAAAAAGTTGTGGCTTTGGATTAGTCTCCGAAGGGACTGTTCTCGTCAGATATCGATAGAGAATTCAGCCCCGAGGATACTTGATGGCCATCCTAGTATTCTCATGGTTTCATGATGTGCATTATGGGTCGGGCTCGAAATTGGTGACAGTATAAGGAACTTTTGCACGACAAATTGCCGATGGTTACCTTCTAGATTCATTGCCAGCAAAAATAGTATGTGAGCAAGACAAGATGTGTGAACTTCAGGGTTCGTTATGTTGTGTCCGGCACAATTACTGTCCATGATTTTCTTGTTTCATACAGATCCTTCGAACATGAAAAATCGGTCATGGCTCTGAGACCACCATTCGGTACGTTCACTCCGTTTTCCTCGTTGCATTCACATTCTCTGAATCGCTCCATAACTGTTCGCAGAAGAAAACAGAAAATAGAAATAGAGTTACTGATCAAGGATTTTTTTAATTCATAACCATCAGATATTGTAGCATCGCCCCTACTGATACGGACATACGCAACTTCCCAAAGATAAACAATGAAAAAGGAAATACTCATATCATCACCCTCTTCCCCAACTGCTATGCTCGGTTATCTTCACTTTCCAAAGCATTCGTCATAGGTGCCTGGAGCCCCTCTGCCCTCCCGCGTGCTGTTCAATGGCCACATCAAGCTGTCGCTCCTCCTCCTCCAACCTCCTGATTTCCTCCTCTGTCATGCCTTCCTCGACCAAATGAGCATACGGCGTTGACAAGCTCCTGCCCTGTTGCTGCTGCTGGCTGATCAGACTACCCCGGTTGCTTTCGGTGCCTGCTCCCCCGTGTGTGAACGATGGTGCGCCGCCACCGCCGCTGTGCAGAGTGGTAGGCGACCCTCCTCCTTCCCCCCCTCCGGACTGATGATCAGAGTACATGGTAAAAGACCTTCCAGACTGATGATCGTGCGGTGTCTGCTGCTGCTGCTGCTGCTGCTGCTGCTGCTGCATCATGTGGTAGGACGGGGCGTTCGAAACCGGGCTGTCTCCATCTCCTTCTAGTCTTCCATCTACTCCGGGAAGAACCACCTGAGGAGAAACGCCAGAATCAATGTTAGGAATAATGACACTACCGCTATTCCTGTTGGCACCGGCGCCACCCATTCCCACGAGGTCGTCAGAGTAAGGCGAGTGAGGCGCGCTCGTCACGTCGTGGATGACGCCCGCGTTGGCTTCCTTCTCGGCTATGAGCTCGTCACCGCCGTTCCGATTGCCGCCGCCGGCGAAGCCCCCGTAAGGCACGCCGCGACTGGTACCGTCTCGAAGGGCGTTTTGCTTGTGGCGCCGCCGGAGGCAGAAAAAGACGATGCCGCTGATGAGAGCAAGGCCGAGGAGGCCGCAGGCTATGGCGATTCCAACGATGGCGCCAATGGAGATACCTTTCTTGCTCTTGAGGTTGGAGGGCTCTCCGGTGCCGCTGCTGACTGGGCCGCCGTCGTTGGTCGGGGTGGCCAAGGTTGCCCCTGGAATGGGAGAAGATGATTCGGTTGGCTTTCCGACTCCAGCTGACTGGCCGCCCCCATCGGAGTCGTCCCTGATCGGATATTCTTCCGGAAAGACCGGGTCAGTGTTGTTGAGCAAAGGATTTAAACCATAACCCTCAAGTATGGTATGGTCTGGCGCAATGTTCCCGATTGTTGTGAAGAGCCGGCTGTAACTCCTGCCCGTTTTGCCGCCGTTCTTCCAGACAACATCAAAGTACAGCAGCTTCAGCGGGGCTGGCTGGGCTGGCTGGGCTGAGGGATTGTTGAGGTTGAGGATAGTCCAGATATTGTCAATTGTCACCGAGCCTCCTGTAGCATTTGTCTCAACTGTTGGCTCGTTGCCTTCAGTTAGCACGAACGTTCCAGTCATCACGTCACGCCACGGCGAAGAGAGGTTAGGCTTTTAGACATTTTGTGATGCACTTCCTGTTGACTTACCGGCGAGGTTGACGGGATACGACGTAGATGTTGGCAAGGTGATGATATCGCCCTGAGGCGCCATACCTAAGGTTAGATCTGGCCAGCTCCCGATTTTCTGCGAGTTTTTTGCAAGGCTTTGAAGCGAGGCAGGCTCGATTATCGTAGTGTTGCTGTAAAGGTTGACAGTGTTGACTGTGGTACCGCTCGTGTTTGTGATATTCCATCTGAACGTAGTCGCCTCCCAGATTACGGCCGGCTTGCCTAGTATTTCTTTTGTCCCCTGGGTAAATCCGTCACTGTCGCTGAACATAACGATGTCCGTATGAGAATTTAGTGAGGCTGCGCAACCTGCCAATGGCAGACCGGCTAGCAGCCAGCTCCTTTGCGTGGCTATTCGCATGATGAATCGACTCCCGCTTTCCTAGGCCTCCCCCTGTATCCGGCCGTCGACTTCTGAAATGTGTCGTAGTGATTCTCACTTCCTCAAGTAAGATGCCTTGTAGTTCTAGATACACGCATCTCCCCTTATGATCGGCTTCGTTTTCGTTGGTGCCGGTTCGGATCCAGAGCAGATGTGCTGACACCGGTAAGGGAACCTCCAGCAGCTAAGAGTATGCCAGATGAACAAAGGTGTGAGAAAATGGACAACCCAAATGAAACCGCGCACGAAGAAATGCGAAGCGTGTGTAGGTAAGACGGCCGGGGTCTGTGGAGTAACAGAGCGAACGAGGCTCGGGAGTAAGCACCAATACCAACTCGGGATAGGAGCAACTATCCGTATGGAAGATTGGATGGATTAGACGCACAATACCCCCATCCGCAGACAAATGATGGGTGAGACAGGCAGAGGGTGAGGAGTAAAGAATAGGATCAGATACGATAGGAGAGCGGGAACTCCTAAGCAAGAAGAAACATCAAGCCAGGCCACAAACGGGCGCGCGGCGGGGGGGGGGGGGGGGGGGGGCAAGGTCGGGCTGAGCTGAGTTGTTGCTTATGTGGCCTGTTGGTGCAGTGGCTTGGGTTGTATGTCAAGCACACTCTGACGCTCGCAAGGGAAGGGGGAAAGGAGAAAACAGAATGGTAAAAAAGGGTAGGATGGAAGGCCGCTCAGCTGAATCAATGGAACCAACAAGTGTCAGATCGGTTCACCCAAGGCCAGTCTGTTCTGGATACGAGAAGATTTCAGATAAACTTTCATGGGTACCATCTTCTCTATCTTGTTTTCTCTTCCTCGGTCACTTTAAACCAGCGAGCTACCCATTCAGCTCGCTCTTATCTCCTTGTGCCACTTGCCTTCCATGTTTGTTTTAGCCTGCTTCTGAGAGGAGGACTCGATTCCCGGTACACTGCATCAGAACTCTTTGCGATGAGTGGAATACGTGTGCCACCAGACAGACGATGACCTTTGGCCTTGCCAGGATGCCTTTTCCCCCCCTTTCTTCATTCGCTCCTTTCTTGACCGTGGGGGCGCAGCAACAATCAGATTGCACCCGCAAGCATGGTTTTTTTTTTTTTTTTTTTCTCGAGCACTCTTTCGTGTCTTTCCCTACACTATCTTATCAAATAAACAAAAAAAATGCAGGGTGTCACTCACATATCCATACCCATGAAACGCTGTTTCCTGTGATCTACAACATGCCCTCCCCAGGACTTAGCTTGATTGGGAATTCACTGCAACTTAAGCCTTGGTGGGCTGAATATTGTTTATGTATACTCAAGGGGGGAGAAATGCATTGTAAGGTGCTGTGTGAACGGTCTACGTGAATGGTGCTTAGTTTTAAGAAGATAGCCGACCCTTATGTACATGTCCTGTCTGACAGAACCACCTCAAAAGTAGTCTCGCACAAACGCCGGCTACCCTCTCGGTTCGTGGCAGCCGACACAGCAGAGAGGAGGGAAGAGGAACAGACAAACTTTATCTGTGTCGTGTCTCGCCCGTGCATATCCACCCATAGAAAACCAAAAAGAAGTCAAAAGAGTAACAACACCACCCACATTCCTCAATCAGGGGTTCAGTCCGTTCCTGCCTCTCCAGCGCATCAACAGACAACGGACAATGGTCACCCAACACCCGATTTAGTATCTTTTCCCGCCGTTCAGTTCGGCTGTGCCCCTCCATTCGCAAAGCGGGAACTCGCAAGTCAGTTGCAACCTTAACCTTAACCGCCACAGTAGACGCAGCAGCAGGACTGGCGCCAAGAGCGAAAGCGATTCGCTGTCCGATTCCATTCGACGGCATGTTCATGTTCTGGTGCCACAGCCGGAGTACCCAATAGACTATAAGACTGCGTGTCTATTTCTTATTACTTACTACATTACTTTACTTTCTACAGTAGACAGACAGATTAACAGACTTATGTATATCATATCATTCGTGCTACTGTCAGATACCCAGAGAGAAAGAAAACGAGGGCAGAGCAGAAGTGAAAAGACCAGTTTCGAGCTTCATCAACCTACACCTCACAAGCAGCACAGATGGACACGCCGTACACTAGACCAGGCAGACGGGAACACAGCTCTGAAGATCAACCACAATTTACACTGGTGAGACGGGTGCGTGACGGCTTCTGAAGCCAGTGCAAAATGAATGGTATGAAGCACCGTGAAAGCGGCTTGTTGTAAGCACTACCAACTCCTGCAACTGTGCCAAAGGTGCGGCTGACTGGTCGTCGGTTGGAGTTTGTGTTTGGGTGTGGAGGTAGGGTTTGATTTGCTGTTCCGCATTCTTTTCATTCCATGGACTGTGTGAGTGTGGTGCACCATCACCACTTGTCATCATTTCTATACTATAGATGACTAAGTCATACCATTGATTTGATTTTTTTAGCTTCAATAAACCAACACGTGGAATGCATGAAATTCGTGGCCGAGATACTGCGCTTTTCCCGCCGCTCCCTTCCCTGAAAAGAGGGGGGAAAAAAAGAAAAGAAAAAGAAAAAAGAAAAAAAGATCCCAGTCGCCGAGCTGGTAATTGTGTTACAGAAGAGACGTGACTGGATTATTATTCAGCCAAACGTCCATCAGGTCGCCGCCGCCGTCTTGCTACACATCACGTCAATCTATGTAATGTGCAGTCATCGAGTAAGTCAACTCCTGCAGAACGATAACTGAGATGCCGCGAGTGTGAAACCATCAAAACGAGCTATTCAACCGAACCTCCAAGCGCTGAGCGCTGGTGCTGACGCTGCTTCTGCTTATAATCGCTGCCGATGCTTTTCACGACCGATAAAGCATACCTGAAGGACCCTAAAGTTACAAATACACAGTGCCATAACACGCTCTTTCTCGGCAGTGCTCTCTGGCTATCAATCCTATTCAAACCCCATGTCTCTCAGGTAATAAATGGTAATTAGATAATTTCATCACCTCTCAAACTCGTTGAGGACATTCGCGATACCACTCGTGAAGAAAATGATCAGCGCCTCTTCTGCTGCTCCTGCTCCCTGAGTAACTTCTCCCGCATAGCCGCTCTGGCATTGCGGCTACCGCCCAACTTGGGACCCCTGAGGATCTCGGCGTCTTGGTTCCTGGCCGAAGGCCTGGCGGTGGCGTTGACAGCCGGTCTCCTGCGCCGGTGTCGCTGCGACATAGCATCCATGAAGTCGCGTCGGAACTCTTCGGCAATACGGTCGTCAGCGGCCATCTCGTCGTCCTCTAGGCCCGCGGCGTACTCGGGCTGGTCGGAGGGCACGTCGTAAACGTCCACTAAAGCACACACACCATGGTTAGCATTTTTTTTTAAAAAAAAAGAAAAGAAAAAAAAAAAAAAAAAAGATGGTTGACAAATAGCACAGGAAGGATATAAAGTGAAACTTACATCTGTTCTCCCGTAAGAACTCCTCCACTTGCTGATCCCGCTTCAGGGCGTCGCTATCCCTGCAATTCCTCGACCGCCACGGCTTCCCGTCAGGGCCAAGGCGCACCTTTTTGCGACGCCCATCCGCGTCCTCTTCCTCCTCCAGGATCTGGCCTTCGAGTCGGCGTCTCGCGCGCTCCGTCTCCGCAATGTTGCGAGCGCGCGCTTCCTCGCCCAGATCAATCTCCATAAGCTTGCCATGGAGAGCTCGCTGAGACTCGACCTTTCCGCCGCCCACGCTCAGCGTCGGATCGGCCTGGAGGAGATTCGTCATACCACTCGTTGTTGTTGTCGCCATCGCATTACTGCTGCCGTTCTGTCCTCCTTCCTGCTGTGCCCGGTGTTCCGCGGCGAGCCGCTTTCGTCTAGCCAGCTCGGATTCTATGTATTCCTCCCTTGCTTGATCAGCCGCTGCCTTTAGAAACAAACCTAGTCCCCCCAACCCACCCAAGCCTCATAATGGTAGTACTCACATGTGCCTGTTGACCAGCTCGCCGACCATACCGGTCTGCGGCGCAAAGCGCTTGGCTACTCCGCCAAGAATAGCAGCTTCCTGCACTTGGCCTCCTCCGCTTCCGCCTCCGACGCCGTCGTGCAGGACTATTGCTTGCTCAGCATTCTGCACTGTCGGGCTGAACTCGTCACCAGCTCGGAAGGCGACGCCGCCTAGTCTGTGTTTCTTCGCGTTTCGCAGCCGCAGCACCTCCGCGACAGAGAGACCGCCTTCTTCTTTGTCATTTCCACCATCGCGTTTTCCTGTTATTGTTGTTGTTGTTGTTGTTGTCGCTGTCGCTACTGTCGCAGAAACTGCTGGCTCGGTTGTTGAAGCTGCAGCCTGGCCTGTTGGCGTCGCATCGTTGCCAATATTGATAGTCGTCGCTGATTCTGTCTGTGCTGTTGGCTCTATGCTCGTTTCCTCGGCTCGCTGACGGAAGGCTCTCTTCTTCTTGCCGGCACGAAAGAAAACTGGAGGTGCAACGGCGGCGGCAGGTTCTGGTATTGGCACGGTGGTCAATTCGGATGTAGGCGCTGAGGCGTCCATGGTGCTATCGCTAATGTTTCGTGGTTCCGCTGTCATTTGCAAGGGAGAGGCGCGAGGGCCGATCTGAAGGTTTGCACGACGTCGTGTTGTTGGATGGAGATAGAAGAACTTCCTGGTCAATTCCATGGAAAGTGGCGAAGGTGCTGTATGTAGTATGGTGTATACAGTACACAGTAAACGCCAAGGCGGAGCTAGACATGTAACCCTAACCCCCCACAAAAGAGCGCATCCACATGCAACTTTCTTTTCAACAACTGCGATACACTACTCCGGAGTCGAATGATACGTCGAACTGTTGACCTCGACTCTTCTCAAACCATATCAAACTATCATTTCAGTCTTTAGACTGAGAACTCTCAACCTCATCGGTCCAGATATAAAATACGTAGCAGATATAGTGTACTACATGCATAGACCAATAGTCAAGAAACGTGGCCACTAACGGGCACCACCACGAGATCGGCATGCATGAACGGGTCCCGTGCAGACACTGATGACGCAAATCCTGTTATTTCGGGCCCGGACCCGCCCTCCGGCGTCCTGTGGACCTCTTCCGCTCCGGAAGCTTTGGAAGCTTACATGGCCGTCACCGGACTGGCTACATATGGTTATTTGGCTAGTACCTGTGAAACAGTTGCCGCCCAGCCGACTCAGACCAGGACTATTGTTAGGCATAAGAGTTTACTATTAACATCTGAAGTACAGAATGACGCAAAGAGCAGTAGGTAACGGCCTGTGAATTAGAGTGCAGTATATGCGTGTGTATCTCCCGTGCTTTCGATTCCACACGTTACACCCATACATAGTATAGTGAGACATCGGTTCGGTAACCAAGATAACAAGGATTTGAAAAGAAGAAAAAAAAAACAAAATAAGAATAGAACATTCCCCACGCCTCAAGATCAACTGTATGGCGCACGAGCGAAGAGGTATCAAACATCAAACCAAACTGAACCACCGAACCGCCAACCTATCCCCCAACATGATGTACAACAAAGGAAAAAAAATACAACAACAAAATAAAGAAAAAGAGAGAAAGGAATAATAGCATAAACGTAGCATCTTCCCTTCCATGGCCATTTCGCCGTTTTCCATGCATACATCCATCGTCGCCTTCAGAAGCCCTTGTGGGTAACGGTTGTTGAAAGAGTAACAACAAGTTTGATGAAGAATCCTTCGTATTTCAGGCTCAAGGGACACTGTTCGAAGGTATATGAGGCTGATCCGAGACCCGACCCAGGCAATAGCTGGGGACGTCCATCGTTGTTCGACACCTCTTTTCTGGTTCAGGTCGACCTCGTGATAACACCCCAGAATCGTACATGTCCAGTGGAAGGCTGTCCTATACCAAGTGGCTTTGACAGTCGTAAAATCGCAAGCTGAAATCGATCGACGTGCTTCAATAGGCACATCAAATCCACGCGCTAGCCGGGGTCGCAGCCGGTGTACTAGGCTCAACAGGCTCGACGCCGTAGAAAGTAACAAAGAATCCCCGAATCTCCTTTAGGTAATCCTCGGCGATGAACTTGCACAGTCCCGTGGCCGCCATCTCCTGTTCCTCCGCAGCAAACTCGTTCAGCTTCTCCTTCACACCGTACTCCTCAGCGATCTCCGTTACCTGGGCCAATTCCTGCCCAAAGGGGTGGTGAGAATGCGAGAACTCTGTCCTGTGACTGCGAGCTGGTGACTCGGTTTCGCGTCTTTGCCTCGACGGAGAAGCAGGGGAAGCTGTAGCAGAGGGAATCGAGTGGCTGACGGAGGGGGGCACCGAGACTTGCGGCCTCTTCTTTTGGTAGGACGAAGGAGACGGAGGGGTGCTGACTGATGATACAGAGGTGCTCCTTGACCGCGGTTGAGAGAAGTTGAAGCTGGCCTTTGTCGAAATAGTGCGTTGTGATTGTGCTGAGCTACGTCCGGCGACTGACTGTTCACGTACTCGAGAATCGTATGACTTCTTGGTGTGGGAAGGTGCGCGCGTGGGAACGAGAGGAGCCTCAGCCAGCGGTGACGGCTGGTGAGTGGTAACGGGAGATGTCGTCAATTTGTCGGCAGTGAAGTAGCAGGAAAGGTGGTTTGGCTCTAGAGACAGGCCCCGATCGGGGGCCTCGTCGATATCGGGGCTGGTGGGGGGAGATGAAGTGCGAGTATGCGTGCTGTCAGACAAGTCATCGTCGGATTTCAGGAATGACGATTTGGTTGAAGTGGCAGACTGGGGGTGAAGATCCGGCGCATTGTATGCCAACACGTTGGTGGTGTGTACGAGCTTGACAGGGGCCGAAATCTTGTGGCGCAAGGAAGTCATCGACACTTTCTGGAGGTTGCTCCGTGGCTGGATCGGGTGGTCGGGCTCCGACGACTGCGAAAACTGCCTGATCCGCCGGGTCGTGAATGCCCGTGAGAGGGACGAAGACATGTCGAATACTGGTTGAAATTACAGACTTGAAAACGTAAGAGGTGGTGCTGAGATGCGGGTGAATATCGAGTCCTTCACAGAATCTCTGCAGTAGCAAGTTCCCGAGGGGAGGGCGAGATATTGGGTGATGTATCTCGGACGCTGGAGAGGTCTTCGTGGAAAACGGAAGGCAATGTCAAACCAAAAAAAGATTAGGTTGTTAACAGTGAAGGAAGGAGAACTCCAGGGTAGCTTATCCGACAGGTGGTGGGCGAAAGGTGTGACGTTTGCCTCTCTGGGGTGTCGGTCTCTGTTCACGCTCAGATGACTGCCTGGAACCGCGTGAAGGGTACCGGTGATCGAAAAGTGAAGCCGGATACAACGATGCCTGATCGAGAGTGCAGAAATAGGTGAATATGAGACGGAAGGTTCCAAATCTGGTGTCCGCAACCTCAGATATGATGTCAAGCAATCACAAGGAAGATCGGGATTTGCGAAAGAAATGCAAACACGGAATTCATCCGGGAGAACGGGTCGCTGTATGTGCGTGATGCAAAATGCTGCTAGGTAGAGTGTATTGTTTTGTACAGCCTGGGGTGCGGCGTGGATCCAGCCCTTTATCGTCTTTGTGTGGATTCCGTGTCGTTTGGAAACTCGAGTTCTTTATGCGTCCAACTCGTCCCTTTTCGATGTACTGTTGTAAGCAAGGAGTGTCTTCCTAGACAGGCTGCTGTTGCTGTTGCTGTTGGAAAAGAAGGACTGGAGTGATGGTGCATAACCAAATGAGGGAAATGAATGTGGTGGGATGAAATCCGCTTCTCGAGTCCAGACAGGGGCACCTGATCTAAGATGAGGCTCTCACTCTCGAAGGATATCCCGTCAACGAAGGAGCGTGATGGGGACACAAGTTCAAAGGAAGGAAGTTGCGTGGAGAGAAGGGGGAAGGGGAAGGGGAAGGGGAAGGGGAGGAAAGCAAGGAGCGGACAGACGTCTTTCCAAAAGGATTGCAACCAGAACTGGCGAGACGGGGAGAAAGGCCAGGAAAAGAACAAACTGCGGGGGCCAGACGCCGTCGAGTGTAACGTCAAGTTACCTGGACCTGGCCCCAGAGATGATGAGTTAGTAGTTTGTGGAAGTATCGCCTACTCGGGTATGAGCCGTCCATGAGCACGGTTGACCATGTCACTTTTACATGAGATACACATGGCGTTCCTGCATGATGATACCTCCACACTACACCACTGGCGGATGCGTTACCACGACGGGCGTCGCAGTGATCGGCCATTTTGGACGATTCGTTCGTCTCTCTTTTTCTTTTCGAAGATGCAGTCTCGATATGTATGTACCGGCAAAAAGGCACATCCAGCGACATGGAAGGTGTCCATCCAGGAACCATGCCCGTGCCTGCCTCGGTGGGTCAACAAACTTTATTTACGGTTTTTTGTTGGCCGTCTGGTCATTGCTCCCTGTAACCCACCAATGGGAAAACGGAAGGTCGCTTCAGCTACTAGTACCTGGTACCTGTGCCACCTCCAAAGTGCCGCCGACGAACAACCCCCTCCCCCCTTTTTTTTTCTTTTTCTTCTTCCCAACTCATATTTTGATTGGTGGACGAAAGATGCGAATATCGACGATAACAACTGCTCGAGCAAATCAAAAACAATCATCCTGATTTACAAGTGATGAAGACTCACGTTGACGGACTATCTGAATTTGACAGCTCCGTTGTAGCAACCGCGTGCTCGTCGGAGGGTTGCCTGAGGCCGCTGTCGCTTCTCGCGGTTACATACGCCATCCCGGCCGGGCCTGCTAGACCCTTTCACCATCAAGGTATCTGTCCGTCATCCTCCATCTCCATCAGACCAAGCTAGCCCCCGCCCAGAAAGGGACCATACCCTAGATCGAAATTTTAATCTGACCCTAGCGTCGTTATGCATTTGCTGGGAGAGGTTGTCATGATTGCGTATTCATGTCTGGAATCACTTCAGGTCTGATGGATTTCGGGTTCATGCATTGCACTGCCGCATGTTTCAAACACTCGTGCCGTATCCAGAAGATGCGATTCAATTCATCACCACTCATCCGCCGGCCGTTCTCCCCAGAACAGAAAACGGAAAAATCCTCACCACACCCCGCGGACATTGCGGATGATCCACCAAGGACCCCAGGTCCATGCAACGCCCCACGCGCCTCTGTCCATTCAGCAATGCCGTTGACGAGTTCAGTGGAAACATTTGAGCCACGCCAATGTTCCTTGCATCTGAAACGACGCTAAGATTGCTGGACATGGGACTTGGATTGGTTTGGTGTTGAACTCTTGTTTCTGAACGGCCCGTTTCGCCAGTTTCGGGGTTTGTCTTTCGAGCTGCAAATCCTGAATATATGAGTTTACTTTTCCATGAGTAGTGCTTGGGATACAGAGGGCATTTGACGACGATGACCTCAAACGTGGGTTAGGTTTAGATGAAAGCACCCTAAGCGTATAAGTATTCGATACCTACTACCTAGGTGACAATGAACTAAGGAAGTCCATGGCAGCGTGGTCGAGCGGTGCCCTGCCCCTGTGGTGCGCAGCCCAGAGCTCTAGCAAGCACGGGCATGCCGTGCAGGCAACCCAACGGGCATGACGGCGGCCGGGGATGAGGAGACGGAAGTTACCTAAGGTAGGTACCTTTAGGTAGAGGGGAGGTAGATACGGTAGAGGAACAGCCTGCCAGTTCAGAAGTCCCCGCTGCCCGGGCTGAAGTGTCCCCCGGTATGTAACAAGTGCTCGGCGGAGCACTCCTCTGAAGCCGCTTAGTGGCGTCAAGTCTTTGCCCTACGCAAGTGGATCTACTCTAAGTACCCAGAGGTAGAGATTAGGTAGTGCAAGCCTGTTCTCCCTTAGGTTCCGTCCCCGCCTTTTACGCGACGTGCTCTCGGCCTCTATCTAGGTTGGGATTTCTGTAATCTTCTTTTTCTCGTGCGGCCTTTGTTCTGCTTCGGTAATGTGTCGCTCAATATTTTTTTTTCCTTTTTTTTTCCCTACAAAGTCGGACGAGAGACATGGGTAGGTAGCTGTGTATATAGCATCATCTACGGCGCAATGCAAGATGCCTCCCGGTTTTGTGTCACATGCGGCACACCTCAGCTCAGCTTGCGCCCAGCTGAAGTGAGTTCTGACTCGTGCTACCTCCTACAGTCTCGAAAAAGTGAGAGCACAAGAGTGCCAAACAGCTCTTCATGTCGAGCCATAACAGGTGTTTGAAGAGCTGCTACCGGAAACAGCAAAACATCTTGACATCATACGTGCTTGCGAATCTGCTAGGAGCTGGAAGGAATGGAATATTGTGCTTCGGCGGCGAGAAGGACCAACTACACGGGACAAGTGCCGTTACCGACTCGGTAATCCTGGCTGGTCGAGCCAATTGAATCCAACGGTGAGACCAACTGCTGCGGGTTGCTGGAAGTTGGTCAAGTAGCATTAGCTATCTCGGGTGACCCGTTTACAAATTGTGTGAGAAATGCCGACTGACTCGGGTTGGCACGGTTGGTGGCGGAATAGAAATCCAATGTTGGCGGCCTGCTTGCTGGTTATGGTTTGTTGGGACACGAACTCCCAACGGGTCTCCATGATCGCAGGAAGGAAATCTCGAGCACATGACGGGCGTTATTCTGCGAAATCGTATCCCCCGAGAAGGGCGGAACAATGCCCGGCGCATGAGATCGAGGAACTCAGCTTCCAGCAGGTTGTTAAGAATAACATGCTGTTTGCAACCAATATCGGGTTGCTCAACAGCTCCCTCCTGTACCTCACTAAGCCATTGAAGAAATTTGAAGTCACACATGGCCGACATGTGAGTAGCTCCGCGCACAATCGTGATCATAGGAAAATTGAGCTTCAAACCTTCTTGTATATAGTAACCAGTACGCCGCCAAGATCCAATAACCGCTAAAAAGAAAGTCAACAGACAGTGAGAAAGCAGCTGATAATTTGAGACAGGTACCCTTTTCATATCCCGTTGAATCATTTTTCCCCGACCTAAGCTACACATCCCGCGCTTACTCGTCATCTTCATCCATTGAGTCCTGGTCAGATCCGGACTCGTCCTCGTCATCATCATCATCCTCGCCGTCCTCACTGCTGCTGTCCTCAACGTCATTGACCGCGACAAGCTTATCCTCAACATCCTCATCAGTGGCCTTGGTAGGCACCTTTTGAGCGAAGAACTTGCGGACGCCAGCGTTGGTGGAGGTATCCCAAACGGAAACGGTTCCCTTGCTGCCCGCAACCGCAAGTCTGAAGGCAACCTCAGGATCAGGACCGAATGTTGTCGAGAAGACCTTGCCGACGTCAAAGTCGCGGGACACCACGAGTGAGGGACCCTCGGCAGTGATGTTCCACAATTTGACGGTCTTGTCAGTAGATCCCGTGGCCATGTATCCGGGAATGACGGGGTTGAGATCGAAAGAAGACACCGACTCGTCGTGCGCCTGGAGCTTCCAAACCGACTTACTGACCGCAGGATCCTTGGTAGTGTTTCGGGCATCAAAGTAATGGATGATGCCGTTCTCGGTCGAGACGTAGAAGAAGTTGGGGTCGTGAGGATCCCATCTAACGTTCTCGACATCGCTCTCCACGCCCACACGCATGGGCTGCTCATTGGGCGCACGCATATCGGCGATGGCAACGGTGCGATCGTAAGAACCGGACAACAGCACTGTCGACTCAACCGCGTGCCAGGCTAGCGAGCACACCTTGTCGGTATGGTAGCTATACGACTTGGCGCACTTGGTGGTGTGAAGATCCCACAGCTTGACCGTCTTGTCGGCAGAGGCGGACGCTAGCAAGTTGCGGTGCTTCCTGTTGGCGGCGAGGGCCAAGACAGCATCGACGTGATACTCGTCGTTGGCCTTCTTGGACTTCTTCTTCTTCTTCTTCTTTTTCTCGTCCTCGGGATTGCCGCCCTGTCCCAGAATAGCGTTGGGGTACATGCAATCCACCGTGTCGAGGTCCCAAATCTCAATATCAGGGTCGAACGTGCCGATGGCGACAAAGTTGCCAATAGAGTCCTTGTCGACGCCCGGCTTGCTAACGGGGATATCGAGCCATTCGAGGCATAGTGGTATCGCGGGAAGCATAATGTCGTGGTGGACGTAAAGGTTGTCGGCGGCATCTTCGTAAACATAGACCTCGAGATGTGCAAGTTCGTCTTCGATCTTGGCGGCCAGCAGAAGGTTGTCGGTGGCCAAAATTTGGAGATCTTCGCGGTCCTCATCGTCCTCTTCCTCCTCCTTCAGCGTGATATACGGATCCTCCTGGTTAGACTCGTAGTAGGCGAGCGACTTCACGTTGCCGAACATGCCCATTTGTTGCGCCTCGCCCACGTTGTCATCATCGTCGTCGTAGTGCTCCAGGTCGTACTCCTTGAGGTCGTCATCAATCTCAATCCTACGAGGGATCAGTTAGCAATGGTAGTTCCAATGTCGAAACTGTCAGCCGAAACATACTCATCGCGCGTATCAACCTTCATGGCCGTATCGTCGTCCTCCTTGTCGGAAACGTTGCCATTGGCCTCCTTCTCCTTGGCCTCATCCAAGTCGTCCTGGGCATCATCGAGCTGGAGCTTGGCCAAAGCAGCAATGCGCTCGAACTCCTTCTCGTCGAAGGTGTACTTGGTAGGGAAAGGCGCCGCAAAGCCTCGCGGCACCCAGGCGGTGGTCGTGATCATGGACATTGTCGCAACGTAATGGCGATGTATCGGTCACGGGTTGCGGGAGAAAGCCGGCAAGATTCTGCCGGATAAAAGAGAAGGGAAGGTTAAAAAAGGAAAAGAAAAGAAAAAGGTGCTGTTGGCCACAGGTCGAACTCTCCAGGTGCTGTGTGAGTGTTGCGACGGAACGGCAGTACAGGACGAAACAGCGTAAGTTACGGGCAAATTTTGGTTACGCGACCTGACCGATTTTGCCAGTGGAAAATGGACTTTTTAGTGGGGACGCATGGCGGGGCTTATCTTATCGTAGAGACAGCGTCCACCGTTGCATCATTGGACGGGACCTCAATAGCCAGTCGCTAGAGGTAGGTACGTACCTAGGTACCTCCTCTGAGCTCCTTTAGCCCAGTGTAGTGTACGGTTCACAGTCGCAGCGGTCCACGCCAAGCATGGAAGGTGCTGCAGTGCTGTCTGGTCGCTGTCTCGACCCTCGTCACTCCTGGGGAAGTTAAATTTCCATTGTCAACAAACCATCGCCAACCAAGTCTTTTACGCGACTCTGGGTTGGCCAACTTAAGTTCCCACGCACATACCTATCCTTCAGCCAAAATGGGTCGCGACGATAATGAAGACCGGTCCTTCAAACGAAGAAAGATCGATTTCAACCCACTTCGCTCCGATGACCGCTTCTCAGATCTCCCGTCGCGCACGCCACACAAGGGCCCCAGAGGTGCCAATGGCAACAATGGGTCCTTCAACTCCCGAGCTTCAACTCCACGAGTCGGATCCAGGTATAGTGGCGGAGAGACACCTCGGCAGAAAGAGTTCGACGGTCCCGAGCCCGGCGTAAACGACGACGACGCAACCAATGCCCTCGATCGGGACTGGTACGGCGGTGACGATGACCTTGGCGGCCACACGTTTGGCGATGACAGCCACAATCCCTTCGGCGATGAGGGCGCTTGGGCAGCCCAGGAGAGGGAGGCGGCCCTGGCGGAGAAGAAAATTGGGCAGATGGCGCGCGGTATGAGCGTCCGGCAGATTCAGAAACAAAAGGATGCCGACGCCTGGGAGACAAACCGGATGCTCACCTCAGGCGTGGCGCAAAGGAGAGATTTGGGACAGGATTTTGAGGATGACCAGGAAGGCACCAGAGTGCATCTCCTAGTGCACGACTTACGACCTCCTTTTCTGGATGGACGAACCATCTTCACAAAGCAGTTGGATCCGGTCCCCGCTGTGCGAGATTCTCAAAGCGATATGGCTATCTTCGCTCGAAAAGGAAGTAAGGTGGTCAGGGAAAGGAGGACACAACGGGAGCGCCAAAGACAGGCGCAGGAGGCTACCAAGGTGGCAGGAACTGCACTAGGCAACCTGATGGGAGTCAAGGAGGAAGATACCGACAGCGCCTTGCCTATCGCTGTGGAGGAGGAGGCCGGCAAAAGCAAAAACATGAACAAGTTCAGTGAACACATGAAGGAGAACGAGGGTGCCAGCAATTTCAGCCAAAGCAAGTCCCTGAAGGAACAACGCGAATTCCTTCCTGCCTTTGCTGTACGGGAGGACCTGCTGCGTGTGATCCGTGACAATCAGGTTGTCATTGTGATTGGAGAAACAGGCTCTGGTAAAACGACACAGCTTACCCAATTTCTCTACGAGGACGGCTACGGCAAGACGGGCATGATCGGTTGCACCCAGCCCAGGAGAGTCGCGGCCATGAGTGTAGCGAAGCGTGTTGCTGAGGAGATGGAGGTGAAGCTTGGCAGCACGGTAGGCTACGCCATCCGCTTCGAGGATTGCACGAGCAAGGATACGGTCATCAAGTACATGACGGATGGTGTTCTTTTACGAGAATCGCTGAATGAACCAGACCTGGACCGCTACTCATGCGTTATCATGGACGAAGCTCACGAAAGAGCCCTCAACACTGATGTCTTGATGGGCTTGTTCAAGAAAATCCTTCAAAGACGCCGCGACTTGAAGCTGATTGTCACGTCTGCGACGATGAATGCAAAGCGGTTCTCAGACTTCTATGGGGGTGCACCCGAGTTTACTATTCCCGGAAGAACCTTCCCTGTCGACATCATGTTCCATCGGTCACCTGTCGAAGATTACGTGGACCAGGCTGTGCAGCAAGTTCTGGCGATTCACGTAGGAAAACCAGCAGGCGATATCCTCGTTTTCATGACCGGCCAGGAAGATATTGAGGTGACCTGCGAGCTCATCCGCGAGCGGCTCGATGCCCTCAACGACCCACCGAAACTCAGTATCCTTCCCATCTACAGTCAGATGCCCGCAGACTTACAGGCCAAGATTTTCGACAGGGCCGCTCCGGGTGTCCGAAAGGTCATCGTGGCCACGAATATCGCGGAAACCAGTTTGACGGTGGATGGTATTATGTACGTGGTTGATGCAGGCTATTCAAAGCTCAAGGTATACAATCCACGAATGGGTATGGATACCCTTCAAATTACGCCTATTTCGCAAGCAAACGCCATGCAGCGCGCTGGTCGTGCGGGTCGCACTGGGCCTGGCCAAGCATATCATCTCTTCACCGAGAAGGCCTTCAAAGAGGAGATGTACATGCAAACCATTCCGGAGATTCAGAGAACGAATCTTAGCAATACCGTTTTACTCCTCAAGTCGCTCGGTGTTAAAGACCTCCTTGATTTCGACTTTATGGATCCACCACCTCAGGATACCATCAGTACATCTCTCTTCGATTTGTGGGCGTTGGGAGCACTGGACAACCTAGGTGAGCTCACCGACTTGGGACGGAAGATGAACGCGTTCCCGATGGACCCACCCCTTGCAAAACTGCTCATCACCTCGGAGGAATATGGGTGCAGCGAGGAAATGGTCACCATCGTTTCGATGCTTTCCGTTCCCAACGTATTCTACCGGCCCAAAGAACGACAAGAGGAGTCAGATGCGGCTCGCGAGAAGTTCTTTGTGCCAGAATCAGACCACTTGACCTATCTGCACGTTTACACACAATGGAAGGCCAACGGGTATAACGACGGTTGGTGCGTGCGACACTTTTTGCACTCCAAGTCTCTCCGTCGTGCCAAGGAAGTCCGCGAGCAGCTCCTGGACATCATGAAGATGCAGAACATGAAGATGATGAGCTGTGGCACCGACTGGGATGTTATTCGCAAGTGCATTTGCTCTGGCTACTACCACCAGGCAGCAAAGGTCAAGGGCATTGGGGAGTATATCAACTTGAGGACCAGTGTCACCGTCCAATTGCATCCGACAAGTGCGCTTTATGGACTGGGCTTCTTGCCAGACTACGTGGTGTACCACGAGCTGATCCTCACAAGTAAAGAGTACATGTCGACGGTGACCTCGGTGGACCCCCACTGGTTGGCGGATCTCGGTGGTGTGTTTTATTCGGTCAAGGAGAAAGGATATTCGGCGCGGGAGAAGAGGATCACAGAGACGGAGTTCAACAGGAAAATGGAGATTGAGGCGCGGATGGCAGCGGACAAGAAGCGGCAAGAGGATCAGCTGCACGAAGAAGAGCTTCAGCTTGAGAAGAAGGCGGCCCCGTCCAAGGACAAGAAGGTGGTTAAAGCGGGTGCCGTGGTGAAGCCAGTCAGGAAACGTGCTGGAAGAGGATTCTAGACGAACATTTTGGATATTGAAGCCCTGGAGTTCAAGCTCGAGTCATTCCCGGGAGCAGCACGTAATGAATAGGTAAAATAAACAGGGCGTGCCCTATGAAAAGGGCCCAACCCGCATGAGTAAACAAATGGGAACCCCATAGCAACGATAGCCGGGCTGTTAGCAAAGTGGGGAATGGGAATGTTCGGGTATCTGACCCCTGGTCTCGGCCAGGATCGGCAGTGATGACAGATGATAATGCAATTCAATGACTGAACTTTATATGACTCTACTTACTTTCCCTTCTTTGTATCGCAACTTTTTTTTCCTTCCTGGAGATTGTGTTACGTTACGGTGTTTTCTCTGCGTTCATTAGTAGCTTGGTTGTGTACAACCCCCCAAGATCCAAATTCTGACGTCGCCAGATAAACGACGACAGCAGTGAAGGGAACAACAGCACTGCCATCAAGAACATCAGTCCTAAGCAAGGCACCAACCAATATTCATTAAAGATGCAGAGCTTGAAGTCGGCGTCGGTGACTAACGCCGTCCGAAGCGCTACCCGCATCTCCCAGCGTGTAGTATCGCGCAAGACTCGCACTCTCAGCACCCTCAACAGCTCCGCCGTCACCATCCTTCGTCCCCAAACCAGTCGCAACGTCTCCCGCAACCCAGCCAATGGGCTTAGCGCAACCCTCCTCACGTCCAGGACGCAGCACGCCCGCCATGGCTCCTCGTCCGCCTCGCCGTCGGAGGCCCTTCAGAAGACTCCCCTCTACGACCTCCACCTCGCCCACGGCGCCCAGATGGTTCCCTTCGGCGGCTTCCACATGCCGGTGCAGTACAAGGGTCTTTCAGTAAGTGCTTCGCACGCCTTCACGCGCGAACACTCCTCCATCTTCGACGTCAGCCACATGGTGCAGCGCATCTTCTCCGGCTCAGGAGCCCGCGAGTTCCTCGAGCGCGTCACGCCCTCCGACTTGGCCTCGCTGGGCGTCCACCGCAGCACCCTGTCGGTGCTGCTCAAGGCGGACGGGTCTGGCGGCATTGTGGACGACACCATCCTCACCAAGCTGGCCGAGGACAAGTTCTACGTCGTCACCAACGCTGGCTGCCGCGAGAAGGATAATGAGTACTTTGACCAGGAGCTCGCCAAGGCCAAAGCATCCGGGTTGGAAGTGAGCCAGGAGCAGCTGGATGGCTGGGGACTGGTGGCCTTGCAAGGACCCGAGGCTGAGGCGGTGCTGGCTGATGCCCTCGACGGCAACACCGATCTGAAGCAGCTCTACTTTGGCCAGTCGGTGTACGGCAAGGTGAAGCTTGATGGTGGTAAAACCAGCGCGCCCTTGCTGATCAGCCGTGGCGGCTACACGGGCGAGGACGGGTTCGAGATTTCCATCCCGCCATCCGAGACCGTCGAGGTCACAGAGAAGCTACTCCACGTGGGCGGTGCCGAGAAGGTCCAGCTCGCCGGTCTCGGCGCGCGCGACTCCCTCCGCCTGGAAGCGGGCATGTGCCTGTACGGGCACGACCTGGACGAGACGGTGTCTCCCGTCGAGGCCGCTTTGAGCTGGATCATTCCCCCGAACCGCCGCAAGGCGGATGCCGGGTACTACGGCGCCGAGACCATCCACTCGCAGCTGACTCCCAAGAGCAAAGGAGGAAACGGCGTTGCCCGCCGTCGCGTCGGCTTTATTGTGACTGGTGCCCCCGCCAGAGAAGGCGCGGAGATCGTGGCCAAGGGGGACCCGACTACGAAGCTTGGTAGGATCACGAGCGGGTGTCCGAGCCCCAGTCTAGGGAAGAACATTGCGATGGGGTATATCAAGGATGGCCAGCACAAGAGCGGGACGGAGGTGGAAGTGCTGGTGAGAGGAAAGCCCAGGCCGGCGGTGGTAACCAAGATGCCGTTTGTGCCTAGCAAGTACTACAAGTCTGCTTAGAGTACTTGAAGGAGAATAGTACAAGGCTTTATCCACGGGAGGGCAAGGGGGTGAAAGCTACAAATTAACTGACTACATACGAGAGTGGGACAAAGGAGAGTCATTTTATTCAACAACTATGAATTTCTGCGGCAGGGAAACAAGGGGTATCATAGGATCACGAATGGCGTCAAACCGGGCACGGCGATGTTATATATTGTTTTCAACAACTGGGCACAACAGAACAGCTAATGGGCGTATGGAAGCTACTGCTGTTTTGCCAACGATCAGTCTTGGCGTAGATAAATGGAATATTGGTCTCGTGAACCCAATGCCGCTCTCATGTGATAACTTCTCACAGATATGTTAGCGGACGTCCTGTCTGTCTGATTACTATAATTATGTTGAATGCGCCAACTCGAGCTACTAGCCGACTGTTGAGATGAGGTATCTAATCTATACTAAACAAAAACAACTCCGTGAGGCCAATGTTGAATGCTCGCCCATATTCCCATGCAGAGCCTCCCGTGGTGAAGAAGTACATCAAAGAAAGAAATTTGATATAGAACCGAAAGAATACATGCATGATGTATAGGTCATGTAATCAACCCGACTCCTGACACGCCATGCCCATCGACGCTATTTTCCTCTTTGTGTGTGTGTGTGTGTGTGTGCGAACAGACGTAGTGTGATCTTTTTTTTTGGTTCATGTTCTTCCAACCCGATGCGCTCACTGTTCCTGAGCCCACCTCTTCTCCCTCAGCGGGATCTCCTTTCCAGCGCGCTGGCGATCACCCGAGATCTCATCTCGCCAAGCCCAGTACTCGCCCAGTCTTGTCTCGGCATAGGAGGCATAGTCAAAGTCGATTTGGGAGATGGTCGCCTGAATCAGCGCCCAGATGCCCCAGTAGAATCCAGGCAGGCCCCGGAAGACGTCCACCTCGTTTAGTAGGCGGTCGACCTCAGCTGCCTCGTCATAATCGGCCGTGGTCCCGTTCTTCTCGCCTTGGTAAGCATAGTAGGCGCGGATGTACGCGGTGATGAACTCGCGACGCTGGACGCGCGTGGGAAGGACACTGAAATCGCAGTCGAAGCCACCCCATTCGGCAAAGTGGTTGGCAATATCAAAGGCGGCTGGTGAGGGGGTCGCGTATTCATAATCGATGAAGGTCACGTCGATGGTCGTGTCTTTGGCGGTGACGCCGTTGCTGTCGTCGGCGGGTGTCTGCTGGGACTTGGGAAGGACGATGACGTTGCCGCTAAGGAGATCGCAGTGTGCAAACACGAGCTGTTGTGTGAGGTGATCAGCAAAAGTATCCATCATGTCGAAAACGCGGGAAACAGATAGATAGAAGGCAGTACTCACCCCATTGGTACCCAAGCCTGGCCGCTGGCTCAGCTCGGCAACAGTCCTGGTAAGCTCCTTCTGCAACTGGGCCTGACGCTCTCTTTGCGCTTCCGTATCTGTTGGCAGGGCAAAAATCCACTTCTGCATGACAGTCCAGACGTTCGGCGGGGGCTTTCCAGGCGCGACACTGTCAATGATTTGCTGAAACTCGGCATCGCCAAGGGCTTCGGACGGTACAATGAAGTCGGTGTTCTTGGAGTTTCTGCGGCTGTGTCCCGTGCGAGCAGTAATGCAAGGTACCACGGCGTGCCACTGGGCAAGCCTCTTGGCCACGGCCTTGTAGATGACGGGCTTGCGCAGATCCTCGGGGTGGGTCATGGAGCCCTGAACGAAGCGGTACATCATGCCGTTCTCGAAGCGGGCGAGCAGTTCGGGAGCGAGGCCGTATCGCATGAGCAGCTCGTGGTTCTGGGTTTCGCGGTGGCGGTCGATGATCAAGTCGGTGCCGTTGCCGTAGGCGCGGAGCAAGATGGCCTCCTTGTTCACCTCATCCTTGGAAAGGCCGGCCTTTTTGTAGACTGCTTTGAGGAGTGTGTTGGTGATACCATCGGTGAAGCGCACGAACTCGACCTTGGAATCGGCGCTCTCCCAGGCGGGGCGGATGGCGAGAACGAGACGGCGGGCGGTGGCTTCCGAGTCCTCGCTCGAGTAAGCGAAAGGGATGTAGCGAATATGATGCTCAACGGGCCCGTTGCCGTTCAAGTGGCCGTTGGACTGGCCGTTGGACTGGCCGTTGGCTGTTTGGGTGCCGTTCTCTGTTGCGACAGCCATGGTGGGCGGTAGGAATCGCAAGGCCGATTCGGTCTTTGCTAGGGACTGTATACGTGTGCCCTGTGGGGGAGGGGAGATGACGGCAGAGCTTCGTGATGGAATTCGCGTTTTTGCTCAATGGGCAAGTCTGCTCATGAGTTATGTTTTTTTTTTTCTCCTTTACTTTGGATTATGTAGCACTGCAGTGCAAGACATTGACAGACGTTATGCGCGGAGAGGTATGCAGAAGCAAGTGAAGTTGGATGTCGAGGAAAGGAGACCACGGACATTAAAAAAAGGGGGGGTGGGAGGAGGGGGTTGTTTACAGTACAGTATCTTTCTTCGCACCTATGGTACTGTATCTCACTCTCTAAGCCGATTCAGCACGGCCAACAAGGAGAAGGATGCGCGGCCTGCAGATGGGACAAGGAGGAATCTGAAGAGGAATAAGCTTCGTCAATGGCGTTGGATGATGGCGCGGTGAGGCCAGTTGGATAGACGCAACCCAAGTGGAAACAGAAGCCGATTAGTAAAGACGATGATCAAGTCCCGCTGCGCCTTTCTCACACGATCACTTGCCCTTTGGTAGGTAGGTATTCATCAACGAAAGTCGCCATCCCCACTAACAAAGCAGGGCCTACAAACACATGCTTTTCTTTTTGCGCCTGGGGTCGCTTGCCGCCCCAATTAGGTAAGTAGTGTACACTACGACGGCCCAACCTTGCCAACCACGCCGACCCAACGCCAAAACCCCCGTGGTCCCTTGTGTGCCTGGTGGTCCCTTGGCCTCTTGTCTTGTTCTCTCCAAGGTCGCCCCTGACTGGACGAGTCTGGATCGAGTTGTTTGGCTAGTCCTGTCAAAGGTCCCCTACGTAAGGGTACGTACCTTCTTTCAATGTCCCGCCTTGATTCTCGCCAGCCTGCGCCGCGCTGTCCACCCTAAACTGCACGGGCGTGACGGGGATTGCACAGCACGTGAAATCGTCGCGAACGATTCAACGAAAAAAAAGTGGAATGCGGTTGGCCAAGCCCAACAACAACCACCGCCACCCTGTACTCTAGTGTAGACCCCATCACCATCACCGCAAGTCGGATCTTTCGAGGTTTCAACCCTGATTGCATCCGTCTCGAATTGCCGTTTGCGCCCCTCGCCTTATTTGCAGGTTTGGTACCAATAACCGTTTCGCCTTTCCGTCTGACGTCGTCGCTTTTGGCCGCCATTCCATCCGGCCCCCCTCCCCGCCTTCCCCCACCCCCCTTCACTCGAGTCACCTTGCCCACCATTTCGGTCCAGTCAAGAGTCGAAAAGGTCGGAGCCTGAGCTGGGGTAGGCTCTAAATTCAGCCGTCATTACCAAACAGCTGCGATTACGGTCAGCTGTAACACGCTATTCGTGTTATTATTTCGCAACTCACTCGCACTCGGCAGTAAGAGACATTCCAGATACCGTTCAGCAGCCATGGTATGAGAAAGACAAAAGAAAAAAAATATCAACTAGCCCCGAGTTGGACAGCAGCAAGGCATGATATATACATGAGCATGTCAGGTTGATGTAGCTTCGGATGGGCAGATAATTGCACGAGGTGTTCAGCTGTGTGCGTTCAGTGCTATAGGCTGTAATCAAGTAGAAATCACCGGGCCAGCACTGGAAACCAAAGGACAACGAGAGAAAGAAACAGCCTCCCCAACCCTTTCAAAATGGCATACCCCGTCTTGCCTAGCCCAGACAACTTCCTCGCTGTTGCTCTCGTCATCAACCGGTCTCGGGACGGCCCGCGATTTGTCTTCCACTATCCCCCCCATGTCTTGCCACCACAGGCTACAGCAGCCGCAAGAGACGGCGACGATCTGGACGATCTGGACGAGGAAGACGAGGCCCTTCTGCATCGAGTCACCCATGCCGTTGGCCTCGATGCCAGCTCTTCATCCCCGTTAAAGGAGTCCGAGCTGTCGCAGTGGAACCACGACGACCATCTCATCACCGAGAGCGGCACACAGATTGTTCCTTGGGAGCACGTTGCTGGCTTCCCGACCAAGGATCTGGAAAACATTCTGACTCCGGCCAGGGCCTATCACAAACGCTTGTTCCAGGTTTCCCTGGATTCTCTCTACTGCGTTTCGTATCCCATCTATGTGCCAGAGAACGGGGTCTGGCGGAAGAAGAGCAAGAAGCAGCAAAAGCACCGGGATCACGATGACACCGCTCCTACAGACACAGACGGTCCGGTCAGGACCAGTGACAAAGGCCCCTCGGATGTAGACCAGCTTGCTGCCAAACCAGCCGAAGAGGCCGAAGACAAGAAAAGCTCCATGACCATGTTCAACCTTGTCTTCATCTTGAACCCCCGAAGGCATGAGGTTGCCGACCTTGTCGACATACTCTACACGCATATCATCAAGAAAGTCAACAAGGCATACAAGTACTGCCAGCAGAGGGGTGATTTCATCTGGAAGGAATCTAAGAAGATTCTAGCCTTGAAGGACAAGGGCCGGGAAGACAGTGAGTGTATCCATCACCTCCATCGCTGTGGGCTCCTGCTAATGTGCCTGCTTGTGAACCAGAGAGGAAGATGAGTCAGTTGTGGGAGGAAATCCTATCAAATTCTTCACTGGCAGCGTCTATGCAGGACATATACGATGCCATATCACGAAACAGAATTGCTGCCATTCAGCTTGAGACCATTGAGGGTGTGGTTACTCACTCCGTGCAGATTCCTGTGCCATTCCATGTGCCCGACCTGCCACAGGACGGCCAAGCGGAGGAGCAGCTTGGCCTGTGGTTGACGACGGCAAACTCATTGCAAGCCGACGAGAACGTAGAGGAGCCCGAAAATCTGGACAAGACCTTTGCGCTCCTCCTGATGGCAGAAGAGAAGAAAGTTATCAACGAATTATTGGGCCCCGAATCCGACCCTACTACACAGGCCATGATCGAGTTTGTACGCAGATGCAAGCCCAATCTCTCCTTCCACCAGGTGCAACAACAGGCAAGTAGTATCCTTTCGCCTGCCCAGGTGCGGAGGTTCGCCGAACACTTCATATTCTGGCGACGAGCCATCGCCATACCGCCTTTGCACGGCCGCGATATGTACATCGTGAGTCCCAACTGCGATCTGCGCAGACTTCCTCAAGCAGCTGCTCAGTGGGCGAGACAGTTCCCACTATCACCACCGTTGCCCAATTTCCTGGCCGAGCTGAGCGTTGCCCCACGGCCGTATAAACTGCACTGTCCGAGTAAGGCTCACCGGCCTCTTTATATGGCTATGCTGGCGTGGCTGATGCGCGGCGGTTGGGTTACCCAGCTCTGCACCTTTGCGTACGTTGTGGTCTGGCCGGAGATCATATACGAAGTTGAATATGAACTAGAGGCAGAAGAGATTGCGCACGAGAAGGCGAAAGCACAGAATAGGGGCCGGGAGGACCAAGGCCACAAACACGACGATATGCTGTCTCCAACAACGGCGGCGGACAACGGTGGTGACATCGGAGGACCCGGTAACAACGTGTTGGCAGCGGCACTCAGCGAGGGTCCCTTAGCAGGCTTCGCCGGATCTGGATTCCTTTCGCTCGCAGCCGAGTCGACATCGGCCTCAGACCTGGATTCCTCGGCAGCAACTCTCCGTGACCTGTCCAATTCACAGTCACCGACCCTTTCCCGCGCCCAACCAGCTTCTACCCCCATCAACGAGTTCCTCCCCACCCTAACTTCGCCCATGTCAACCACTTCCCTCTCAACCCTCATCCTCGGAACCAGCGACTACATGACCAACTCCCACAAAGACAACTACAATAACAATGGCTCCTCCTCTCCCACAGCCTCCTACGCCTCCGCCAACACTCTCAACATGCTCAACCCGCCCCGCCCCACCCTCCAACTCACCCACACCATATGCGAAGATACCAACGCCTCAGCCGGTACTTCCTCCACGCACCATCAGCCCACCCCCGCCGAACAGGCCGCAGAGAAAGCCCGACTGGAGCGCATAGCCGACAAAGCGGCGCGCGAGCTCGCGGAGCGGGCCATGGCGCACGCGCGAAAGGCTGTGCCGCAGGCAACGAGACACCCGAGCGTAAACCATGCTAAACACCTGCTGGGCATGAGCCCGCATATTATATTGGATGCGAAGAAGGCGACGGGGAAGGAGAGTTTGTACTTGAGTGCTATTGAGAGAAGGTTGAGGGGGCGGGGTGGGGAGGTGGCTACGACGACGGCGGCGACTGTTGCTGCTGCAGGTGCATCTGAGGCCGGTACTAGTAGTGACGCTGCAGCCACGGACGGTGCTGGTGTGGAAGGATCGGGGACGGGGCCGGAGGATGCTGCCGCTGCTGGAGCTGGTAACGGCAATAACAACAATAACAACAACAAAAACAGCAGCAGTGCCAATGCTTCCGCAAACACCGCTCCAAGCAATGATGCCACAAACATCGCATCCCCCTCCGCGACTGGTACCCACACCACCGGCGCCGGCGCGAAAACAGCCAGCGGAACCGGAACGTCAGGAGGGGGGCGTACCGTCTCCGGATCAGCCAGCGCTCAACGAGGGACTAAGGACTGGGACGAGCGGGTGGCTAACACGTGGCCTCAGTTCTGGAAGTACTTCAATGGGCGGTCGGCGCTGGAGCGGATTGCTTTGCAAGAGGATATGAAGCGGAAGGAGGCGTGGTCGTTATTGACGGCCATGAGCGAGTATTTGTTGTGTACCAGACATTGGTGAAGCGGTCGATGGCCAAGGGGCTGTGTATATACATAGTATTTCCATTGTCATGCCGGTAAACACAATAGTTGACTGCGGGTACTAATATTGGACAATCAAAGTATTTCGGGGGAGAAGCCTTTTCGCTATTGGCCTATAACCTACATTGTCGCTGATCACGATGGACAGTCGGCGCACCAGTGAACCCTCACCTGTCACCTAGTGAAATCGCTCAACAATCGAAGTCATGGGGCAACCGTGGAGGCTCTTACCTTCCACTTATTAGACAGTGTCGTTCCTTTCTCGAGTTTGATGTCTCCAGGAAGGAACTGCCACAGCCCATCCAAATACAGACGAGAAAGGTCGGCTTCCCTTGGTCGATACACTAGGTACCTCTAGCCGGAGGGCTGGCACGAATCAGTCCATGAATGCGCCGCCCAACAGCCCTGAATACCTATGGCCTACACGGGTTTGTCGGATTGAGGGCACATTGATCGATATCATAAGGAGTCACCAAGCTTGGGTACGAGTATGGTGTGGTGCAAGTAATCGATCGAATAGAGCGGTGATTGTCATGCTTCTTAGATAGAATCGACGAGAAACAAAGCCAACTCCTCCTTCATGCTACCCCGATGGAATCCTCCAAAGCGCCTGAGGTATAATCGTCATAAGCAGGAGAAACCCAGGTAGTACGCCATAGTGACCGGCTCCATAAAACAAAACAAGGACAGACGTAACACCGAAGAAACCGAGCCAGCAGAGTTACGCTAAAAATGATACTTCCGAAACACGAAGAACAGAAAAGAAAAGAAAAAAAAAAAAAAAACAAAACCACATCCCTCTGCACTATCACGCAAGCGCCGTACCGAGGAAGTAAGCCGTCATGCCTTCCGTGTACACATGATGCTCGGTCAGAAAATAAGATCGACAGCTAAAAAAGAAAGAATAGAAAGGAAACCCGAAACAGAATAAAAAACAAGACCCAGTCTGTACGCCCATGTGCCAAATCACATTTGTGCTCAATCCCTGAACGACCAGTGAAATGCTAAGTACCTAGACCCCGTTCCCAATGTGCCGCTGCGATGAAAATGCAGATCAGGGATATGAAAGCCTGTCAAGTGATGATCATGGCCGAGATAATAAATGATATGTCCATAGGGTTCCAAGCGATGGTTAAGAGATGAGAAAGCCCCCCCCCGCCCTGCGTTCGTAACAAAAGAAAAGAGAAGATAAACTATAATCCACACTAGCATCGCGATCAACCAAATCCGATTCCTACGATCATTGAGTCAAGTCCATTCCATACTCGTCCTCCTCTTTGAACTCCATGTCAGCGCCGTCATCCTCATATTCAAGGAAGTCGCCGGCATCGAGGCCATCGTTGAACTTCCCGTCGGCGCCACCATGGGCGGGACTGGTGGAAAGGTGTTCGCCATTGACACCGTTGGTGTTCAAGGGCTCACCCTTGTAGTCCGTATGATGGGGAACACGAAGGCCAGTGCCAGCCGTGCGAGAGTACGAGAATCCCCGGGTCTTCCCGCTACCGTCCTCTCCTCTGGCAATGGCCTCCATAAGCTCTGTCTGCATCCGCTTCTCATCATCGGTGATCTCAAAGGGCACCGTACCCCCACGCTCCAACAAGGCATTGATGAGCTCTTCTTGTTGTTGGATCTTGAGGTAGGCCATCCACATAAGATCTCGAGTCCAGCTCACCGCACCATTCAAAATGTCGCCCTTGTTGGGACCCTTATCCTTCTCCTCAATCGGCAGGCCTGTCGTAATGTTTCCAGCCGTGCTGCCAGCCGCTCGTCTGGCTCCAGGTCCAGCTAGGGCTGATGTGGCTTGGGAAGGACTTGAAATGCCCGCAAGCGTGGGTGAAAGGGGCGTTCCGTTTTGAATTGCCTTGCGAATCTTTTCATCCTCTAGACGATGGGCAGGAACAAGCTTGCTAAGATCTTGAATGCGCTCGTTGATATTATCACGTCTCCGTCTTTCAACGAGGTTATGTGACTCGCGCCTCCTCTTCCTCTTTGCTTCTTGTGTCGACACAGAGGAGGTCGCGGTGCCAAGCTTGGCGGGCATGGATGTGCCGCCCTTCAACAGAATGTCATTGATCTGAGCATGGGGGCCATGAAGGCCTGCCTGAAGAGGTGATGAGAAACCAGACCCGGGAAACGAGGAGAGACTCTGTGGGGTTTGCATCCATTGCGCGGAATGGGACTTCTCATGGTGGGGGCCTGATGTCCTGATGGGCTGAGGGCCAAATGATCCCGAGTTCACCGACAGTCCGGCCATGTCTATCGCCTTGGGGGTAAGAGGGCTGCGTGTAGTGGACGACTTGCGCTGCATGGTTTGCGGTATCCTGGTATGTGCTTTTGCGCTCAAGAAATTTGGGTCAGTCCCATCACTGTTCATGTCGGTATTCGCTAATGGTGACCCAGCGTATGACATGGGCGACTGAAGCGATGTTCCGAAGGATTGAGGGTGCTGCATTTGCCGAAAATGCGAAAAGTTATGGACAAATGGCGATGCTATCGGATCGCCGTCGGGAGTGCTCGAATAGCCGTTTGTATGAGCTTGGTTGATGGGCAGGCTTTGATGATAAGAATCCGGAAAGTTCATGCCAACATCGTTCATTCCGCCAAAGTCTTGCCCATGACCCTGCATTCCGACATGAGGGTCACTAGGACTGTTCAGACCATCGAGAAGTTCATCGTCTCCAAACAAAGCTGAGCCGCTAGAAAACCCATTCGACGAGTTGTTGGTGTGGTTGAGGTAGTTGTTTTGGAAGGAGCCATGAAAATTGGCCCCCATGGCCAGGTCGTTCGGGTCAATGCCTCCTCCACTGTGGCCGCCCATTGGGAATCCGTGTTGTGCCATGTTGTTGGGAATCCTATTGGTGGAACCTTCGGTGTCTGCCTGCATGTCCTTTTTCTTCCAAAGCCAACGAGATGGCGCCTAGACGAGTTTATTGACTAACGAGGGCCCTAGAGTGCCAGCAAGCGTTAGCAAAAGAAATCCCAGCCTCGTACCAAGTGATGTGGGTATGGGGGGCTTACCTTCGCAAACAGCCACCCATAAAATGGAAATATAAAGCAATCGAACAACAGCGAGGTTGAGTATGACTCGGTGCCGCGGTTGGAGTGGTGGGTTTGCTTGGAGCGATGCGGGAAGATGTCAGGAGAGAGCAAACTGCAAGGCTGACGTGTCGCTGAGTCGCGGTGGTCTGAGGACAAGATATTCGGTGGGAACTGGGGATCAATGGCATCCAATTCCTTCGCAAGCAATTGCAAGTTTTGCGCAGGAACTCAGAACCGTGTCGTCGAGGGATGTCGAAGTCGGCGGTTGGTGAACGGTTCAATGTGGGCGATTGTGGTGAATGTCGGGTTGGGGTGTGTAGCCGCCTAACTGCCCTTGGCAATGTTCGGGGAAGTTTGTAACGAGTGCCCGTGAAGGCAAGGGAGCCAAGTCGCCGGAGAGGACAACAAAGGCAATGCACTGCAATGAAAGAAAAAGAAAGGGGCAAGCGATTGCCCAAACCGCAGCCTTTTTTTTTATGTCGGATCTTGCCTACGCTTCAGTCGCCGAATAGGAACGGAGAGCGAAAGCGACAAGGGGTGTGAAGTGGTTGCAGGTTGCAGTGGTTGCAGTGGTTCGCGGTTGAGATCCAAGGCTTCAGTTCAATCGGCCTTTTCTGTTGGGCAATGACTGGGATGAGTCAGCAGAACGTCCCGTTTGAATGCACTGCACCGCACCAAGCAGGACAGCGGTAGTAGGTTGCTACCTCGTTGTGGATGTTTTGAAGCAGGTGCGAGGCATCACAGCAGACAGCGGGCAGGGAGAGGCGAGGTGCAGGGAGCAGAATGAGTTGGGAGAGGAAGGAGTCAACTTTGCCAGGTTGTTGTGCGATGTGCGGAGAAAGCGCCGCTGACTCTGAGAGGGAAACTTTTGGGGTGGAAGGTGGGGACTAACAGAAAGGCGGTAAAGCGGAGGCACTGGATGTCCTATTACAGATTGTGTGATGGCGGCCGGCCTATATATGGTACGTAGGTACAGCCACAAGGAAGGAATGTACTCGTATCGGTATCGTAATCCGTCCTCTGCCGTGGTATTGGTTCTGCACCACCCTAGCACTCCAAGAGCCCCGGGAGGCAATAAGTGCTGACGCGCCGTGTAAGACCCAACTGAAGAGAAGGGTGAGGGAGGGGGGAGGGTAGAGGGGCTGAAGTATTTAGAATTCGCAACCAGACGAGAAGGTTTGCGCGTTGAGATTTCCCTCGGTTCGGGAGGCGTTGTAAAAATGACTTGTTGTCTGTGCACACAGTGCTAGGTGGAAGGCGTTAGAACTTGAGGGCCAACTGAGTAAAGGTCAAGCGCATCAGCCTCGAAATAGGAGCCCTGTCCTTTTCGAGCACCCGACAATATGTATGCGCTCCGAGCGGTAACTTGGCTGGCTGGCTGCGGGCTATATGAGCGGAATGCAGCGCGGAAGCGGCGGCTGGGAGACAGGCTGAGTTGTACGTGCTATTGCGTGAGTCAACTTCCGACGATCAGAGAAGTGCCCAAGAATAATGTTTGCCTCGCTGTTGGGAGAAAGCGAGTCAAGATGCCTATACAGTTTGGAGATCGTGGTGTTATAAAAAGAGGTGAAAACCGTCCCACCTCGAGCGCCCTGCAAGATGATGTCTTAAGCAGAAAGAGAGAGGCGGGGTACGGAGTGGGGAGGAGTAGTCGATGGGGACCTAACGGAGGAGAAAGATCTGAGATGTGATGAGAACGGGGAAAATACCAGAGCCAATTTGCAATGCCTGGTATGCACATGAAAAGATGGTCGTTGCCTGCGTTTCGCCAAAGGGTGCCAAACTGCGCTATGCCAGTGTTATTGAGGTGAGAGAGTGGTGGTAACTCTTCCGAATGTGTAAGAGATGCCGGCGTGTCGCCGATGAATAACTAGCACGCAATTTCGTCTTTCCGACCGTCTTGTTCTTGTGAATGGTTTGAATAGAGCGGGTGCGCTGTAATGAGGAATTCTCAAAGTGTGCGCCGTAACTGATCCATCAACCGTCAACCTCTAAGCAATTATGCCTTGGGGTACTTGCTTGGATCCGGATGCTTGCCATCCCCAGACTCGGACTTACACTACCGATCCAAAGTGGGG